CCTTCTGGCACCAGATAAGTTGATTCCCACAAAGGCTGTTTAGAGGAGGAAGCCACTTCTCTCTTCTTTGTGTCCCCACTGGGGTCCTGCAGGCCCTCATTTTCCTCTAGTTTATGACATTTGGGCTGTTTGGAAACTCCTCTAACTAAAATGCATATATACTGCCAGTATCATTGTGCATTCCACTCCCTTGCACTTGATAAGTACTCACAGTTTGCTTTTAATAATAATGTTAAATTACAAATTTTGATGGAAAATTGGAGTTTGTGTAGCTTTGGATGTATCACATGGTTCCAAAAGATCTAGCTGGAAAGTAAGAATAATTGATTATAGGATTTTAAATTTTTTAAAAAGATTTCATTTATTTATTTTAGAGAGAGGGGAAGGGAGGGAGAAAGAGAGGGAGAGAAACATCAGTTTGCTAGAGACACATCAATTGGTTGCCTCTTGCACCAACCTCATCCTGATAGTTTATAGTCTATTTTAAGATGAGAAAATCTTATGAAACTAGGATATTCAAATGGCTCATCAAATTTTGTGGGTTAATTAACAGCCATAACCATTATGAACTTTGGCTTATGTTTTACAGGGTAACATGTTTTTACTTCAGTGAAAGTTAATCACTGTTGCTTGGAAACAAAAATTAGACATCCTGAGTAAGTGTAATTTTGCCAGCGTTATATTCCTAAAGTGGGAATTGAAAGGGCAGTCACTTAAATGGCATGTATGTGTGCCTGCCTATGTGTCTCATCCTGTGAATGAAGACAAATAAATCATAATGACTTCCATGCAGTAAAAGCAAGACTCACACCTCGTCTTCTGGTGTTTCCTCATAGATGTTTAAATATTTACACTACTTCTTGGATGTTACATTGAAAGTTTTTCATAGCGTTGGCACTTCTTTCTTTTTCTAAGCTAAAATCTTTGCAGCTAGAAAAGTCTAGTGGGACTTTTTGGTCTTTAATCACCTAATAGGCTGCCTGTTGTAGTTTGCCCAGAGGTGCCTAGCCTTGCCTATACATACTTCCTCTGCCAGCCTTTATAAAGAGGTGACAAGGCATCGGGGCATTGGGCCACTTCTGTTAGATGTTCTCATTTTCATAACAGAACTGTAAACTTCCTTCCTCCTCAAATTATATACATGGATCAATATCTCAAATTTTCTGCTCTGAAGTTTTGGCCAGCAACAATGACCTTGTACTCTGTACCACATAGGATAATTCTCAACACCCTATAATGGGAAATGTTGCTTTTGGAGACCTGCGTGCAAAGCCTCGATTCCTTCACATCAGAGATGCCAGATAGGTTGTTGCTCATAGCAGCTAGTTACCCATCCTGCAATGTCAATCACAAAACTTTTTCATTCTGACTGTGGACTCAGCCACAAAACTTTCCAGCACAGTTATGCAGGCAGCTTCTGTGAACGAATCAGAGTTGAAATGTAAGTTGAAAAATACTTACCATCCTGGGTTACAATGATGTAAACGCTACCCTGGATTCGGCCAGACCATTCAGGACTTGGGTACTTTACTCAACTGAACAGGAAAGTTTGGATAGTTCATAGCATCGATTTAAAGCACTGTGCTTTATAATTGCAGCAATGGTTTCCATTGAGGGGAACTGTGTAATTCCTTATGACACTTATTTTCCACTTAGCTCACATCACCTTTATGAGGGATCAGGATTTCTCTTGGTACTAAAAATCAAGAAAAACTGTACTCAAAATAAATCAAACAAAAACCCAGCTTTTATATCTTATGAACACAGGAAACCCTTAAAATGACTGTCATTCTCTCGATGGACATTCAGAAGTTTGCAGTCAAATCTCTGGCTACCCTTTAACGAGGACATTTTCCTCCACACTTACAAGGACAAAGGATCCAGTGGCTTGCCTACCTGTTTATCTTATCATTGGCTACATTATTCTCTTTCTTTTAAGTTCCCCTTTTCTTGATCCCTTCAACTATGTCTTTTACCCAATATTGCTTATATTTTCATAAGTCGCATCAAATCATTTGTGAAGAAGTAAGTTACTGTTAACTACATAAATAGTAACACAGTAGCTTAGCATGTATTTGGTCTCATTTCCTGTTATTTTTAAGGCAAGAAATGAATGATATTTAAAACACTTTATATAAATGAAGCAGAGTTCTCAGGGTCAGAGTGAGCCTAATGAAAATGTTCTACTGAAAAGTTGTTCTTTTCTCTGTGTTCCTTCTAGTGCAGCATTAGTGAATGTTCCCACTGTCTTCAAGGCACAAATGGAATGGTGGGTGGGAAGGGAAGAGAAGGGAACTAATACGTGATCTTAAAATCTTTATTGCTGGCATATGAAGAATTATATGTAGTCAATCTTGTTACTATGGAGCGAAAAATTATAGCTCTCTACATGAGTTAAAGGGGCATGCATTCAGTGAAGATTTATTAATAAATTTATTGTGTAAGGGACTGTAGTAAGTACTCTAAAATTGGCTTCCTATGTTTTCTGGCCAAAGATATTCCTACTAATCATATCAAGAAGACCTGTGGTTACTGTCCAGTGACAAAACAAACAATTTAGTAAGGAGTTTGATGTCTTATTCAAGGGAAAACAGTCCTTGACCTGGGAGAGTATGGTGCCTCCCAAGCAGGGGAGCGCTCTTCCCGAGGGACCTGGGGCAAGAGCGAGTTTTGTAGGATGTTAAAGAGGCAACGTGGAGGTGGGGCAGGGAGGGCTAGGAGGTCGGGGTTCCTGACTAAGGCAGGCAGGCCGGCCCTATTTTCTCAGGTAGGGTAAGCTGGCTAAAGCCGATTCAGGCAACTGTGACTGGTACGTGTTCGGTTTCCTTGACAGGTGTGTCTCATAAACGCAGGTTGACTTAGGTTTAGATTGCACATGGGCTGGGCCACCGGGGCAGCCTCCATTTTGTGGGTCCTGATATACAAATTAACTTTATCATGACCAAGTCCTTTCCCATCTACCAACCCCCTTAATACATCTTCCTTTCTAGTCATTTCTTGTATCAGAACCAAAGTTGGGGCAACTTCAGGCTGTAAGCTCCTTGAGGTTTGTCTTATTTATCACTGGAATACAGTACTTGATAAACATTACTTGAATGAATGACCGAATGACTGATAGAGAGAGCCCTAACCCAGAAGTGCCTGTTTAGAGACTTTGGGACAGGAAAGAAATCTGGTTATAACCTCTTCTATTTTTTCTTCCTTCTGGACCCAGAGCTGTAAATGGAGGGAGCAAGGATCACATGGGCAGTAGACTTATCAGGGTGATCACTTCACAAGTTATACGTAAATGTCAAATCACTATGTTGTGCACCTGAAACTAATATAATATTGTATATCAACTGTTGTCAAAAATTTAATTATTTTAAAAATCTCTGGCCCTCCTGAAACAACTATTTTGGATCTGATGGCCTGCATACTTAAAAGTTAAAATCATCACTGGCTGCATTATTTTTCATCCATTTAGTCCCCTCTTCCTTGGTTCCTTCAATTATTTCTTTTATCTAGTAATGCCTACATTTTAGTAAGCTGCCTCAAATCATTGGTGGAAGAAGATGAGGTAGAACTAACTGTATAAAATCAACTCAGTAATTTATATAGGGGCTGTTATGTGGATCAATTCTTAAGTTAATTTTTCAGGCAAAAGTGAATGACAGTTGAAATATTTATAAGTGAGTCAGGGTTCTCACGGTCATGGTGTTCTATTGAGACATTCTTTTCTCTGTGTTCCTTCAAGTGCAACATTTTGAATATTTCCACTGTCTTCATGCCAGAAATGCAGTGGAGGGTGGGAAGAAAAAAACTAACTAAATATGTGATCATAAAAGTTTTATTGCTGACATATGAATAAATAAAAGTAGCAAATCTTACTGCTAGGAAGGGGGAAATGTTATCTTTCTACACATGTGAAGAGGGCAAATATTCAATGAAGATTTATTGAAAATTTATTATTTAAAAAAGTGTACTAAGTCCTAAAAACGTGGTTTCCTGTTTGTACCCAAAAGCATTCCTACTAATCAACTCAGGGAGACCTGCGATTACCAAGTTATTTTCCCCTTGTCAACCACTTGCCACATCATCTTTAATGTTCCTGTCATAATCGTGGCATCTAAACCCAAACTGGGACAGCTTCAGACTGTAAGCTCCTCGAGGCTTGTCTTACTTGTCAGGGGAGCGTGTACTCAATAAATATGATTTGACTGAATGACACATATTTCTGTACAGGGGTAGAAAAGCTGGTTATAACCTCGTCACGCTTTTCTTATGGCAAATGGAGAGAGTAAGGCTAGCAGAGTGATCTCTGAGCGCAAGCTGGGCTGCAGTCAGAGTTTCAGTCTATGTTGTCTTGACAGGCTCTAGAAAGCAAAACTCCCTGAATGCTTAGGAAAGTTCGTCTGGAGGAGCCATCAGGAAATACAGGACTTTTGTTTACTCCTCTCATCTGTCTGAGGGACTAGAAAGAAGTTCAGAGGATGTGAAAACTGGCTCTAAGAAACTCAGGTGAAGTGGACGTGAAAACTCGCGGGAAGGAGCAGAGCTGCTTGACCTGTCCAGTGTATGCGTTTCCCTGCTGAGCCACCTACTCTTGTATATGGTATTGATGTTTAGAAATGGTAAAAACCCGAGGAAAGTCATTTTTTTAGACTAGGCTCTTAAGCCTGCAGTTTGACTTCACCCGACAAAATGACTCCAGCGCACAGTTCTCGGCCAGGTTTTCTCTAGAGACAAGCTGAGGAGGCGCCCACACAACATCGAATTCCTGCGACCAAATCCCGCCCGGGAAGAGGGAGGGGCGGAGCTGGAGGGGAGCGCAGGGGCGTAACCGAGGTGGGCTGGGCGCTGGGGTAGCTCCGAGCGCGGCCGGAGAGAGGGGCGTGGCTAGAGCGGGACGGGGCTGGACAGGCCTAAGGCAGAGGGGGCACTGTCCGGGGTGGTGTGGCCAGGGCAGCAAGTAAGGACGTGGAGGTGGAGTGACTAGTCGTACGGGGCGTGGCCTAAGGCGAGGGGCGTGGCCATGGCAGTGGGACAGGACGAGGGGACGTGGCTATGATGGCTAAATTTGCAAGCTGGAGTACCCGGAGTAAGATTCGTGCTCTTGGGAGAACGCTCAGGTAAGGGCCTACTGCGGTGCGGAGCGGAGCGGGGCTACAGCAGGGGCTGGCCGACTGGGGGAGGGCTGGACACTCCTCACATACCCCAGCACCGCCCCGCAGGGTCCTGGAGCTAGGACAGCTGATTGCCTGTATTGCTGGGGGTCCCCGTGGGTTGCCCTGTCGACCGGATAGGCTGGCAGGGCACCGCCCTCCCTACCCACCCCGCTCCCCGGAGCCCTCTTCTGTGGGAGTCACCAACCACAGGGCTGCACTGCCTTTAGGGTTATTTGCACTTGGCAGGAAAACAGCTGCCCCAGAGAATTTGTGGGGCGCGTGAGGACAGTTCCTTAGGAGGGAGATTTGCTAAGGCTGGTTGGATGTGAATAACTCAAGAAGCTGCGAAGTAGCTGGACACAGGGGTAAGGACTACAAACCTGAGACTGTGGTTTCACAAGCCGAGGAACGGCAAGCTGGGACTGACTTGGGTCACGATTGTATTTCTTCCCTCCCCTGACCCAGGGTCTGTGGTCGGAGTCACAGCCACCCGCCTCCCCCAAAGGCAGGGTATCAGCATTACAGCTGTGTCGCAGGGACAAATCTGAGGCTTCTGTGTTTGGCAATTCCTTCTTGTCTTTTCGTTTTGTGCCTTGCCCCAGAATTGGAGGAGAACCGCCGAAGTACAAATGTTGATGGCAGTGAGTCTTTCTGGCATACGCTATTAAATGCTACTTCCTTGAGGCTGGTGGCAATCCCTTAATATTCATGTTAAGTGCCCTCCCTTCCCATATAGTTTAACTGGGAAAGTTTGAGAGGTACAAAAAGTTAATGTGTACACCTTAATTTGGATAGAACTTGTTCTCTGCCAGCCATTGAAAACCACATTGCTTTCTGCTTCCCCTACTTCCATTACTGATAAATTCGGTCATCTTCACTCTACTATGAAAAGCCATGCTGGAATGTGGAAAGGAGTAACCAGATTTCTCTAGTGAGGGAAGCTGCCTCAGACCCTCCCGCGGGATCTGCCCCAGTGCATCCCTCAGAATGGTTACTGTTCTTGGATATGTTGGAAATGGGAAACCTTTCAGCTATGTAGGGCGTTCTGCCTTTACTCAGGTGATTTTTACATCAGTACCAGGAGTGAAATTCACTGAGAGGCCAAGAGCAGCAAGGGCACCATTCTCTGTGTCTGAACACCCCTCCCTGGAGCCAGGGGAGAGGATGTGAAGGTTCACAGTTTGAATGCAAGTGAAGACTGAGCGAACTGTGAGCAAAGGAATGAACATGAATATTTTAGAAATCTCATGGAAGGAGGATAGGCCGCACATGAGAAGTTAGTTGCAGCACACTAAGTAGTTACTAAAAATGTATTTTGAAACCTTTGGCAACCCCAGATTAGAAGCATAGTTTCAGAAAAATAGTGGGTGAGAGGACGAAGCTGAGCTGTCTCAGTCAAGACATGGAAACATAACATCGAATTTAAATTCAGAGAATGGTAAGAGGCTGACTTCTGCCTAAATCAGGAGGTGAGAAAATGAAGGGCCAATCTGATAAGGATCAAGGAATTTTTTCAATGTAGTCACAGCCTTTAGTAGGTACATCTTTGCTGTCTCTTTTTCATACGTACAATTGGCTTAATCAGGCAGAGTTCAAATTATTTGTCATTTAATAAATACATGATTTACAAATGACTCCTTTCAAGGCTTTCAGAATCTTCACCTTTTTACACATGTTTCTAAGACTGCAAAACAGCAGGTCAGGGATGTGTTAGTAAAATCCAAAGACATGCATAAATAATTAGTGTTAGCAGAGTCGTATGGTATATAAAACTTAGCACTCCTGGGCCCTGTCCGGCCCGTGGTTCTGTAAAACTCAATGTGAATGGAGCCACTTCAAAATGGAGGTGGAGCTGTCCCCGCAAAGGAACTGCCTTGCATGTCTTACTCCTCAAACCTTTGGATGGTTAAACCTGGGCAAATAACCTTCAGACTGAGCCTACAGCATTGTGTACCAAACAACTGCAAAGCTAATAGGAAAGTAGACATGACTACATGACAGAAAATGTAAGACATTTTCTTTAAAATTAACATTACTCTGTGACCTTATCTACAGCTATAGAAATTCCTTCCTTGGCTTATTAACACCCACAGAAATTCCTTCTATTCCTGAACTTATTCTCCTTTCCTTTCTCATAAGAACCCCTTGCCTTCACCTCCTCATCAGAACACTCTTTGGGTTTCTGCCTGAATCAGTGCCTCCTGAATAGCTATTCTTTGAATCTCAAATAAATGCTTTGTTGCTTCTCACTTTGACCTTTTATTTTTAGGTTAACAGTTCCATCTTTAAAGACAGTCTTTAGTATGGACAAATTTTCTGTGAAATCCAGTAATGTATGGTAGTAGTTTATTAGTATGTATTGTGATTGATAATTAAACATTATTTGTGGTTTCACAAGCTTACATTTTATGAGATCCTGGGTAAGTTTAAATGACTGTCTCTATAATATTTAATGTAACAGAGAGGACTGGCTTTAGGCTTGAATATAAATAATCTCATGTACTGTTAGAGATACGGTAGCCCAGCATTAGCTATGCTGAGCTTCTGTTTATTTGGATTTCCCTGGACCCCTCCTTGCCCCTGACCTTCCATGCTCCACTCCTTTCTCCATTGCCTTTGACTTCCTTCTCCACCCCTTGGCCTCCTTATTCACTCTTTTTTTTTTTTTTCCGGTCTCCCTCTCTACACCTGATACTCCCGGGGGGGAGGGCGTGTTCCTTCTCTCTCTAGCCTCATAGCCACCAGAGCTGCACTGCCCACTCTCCTACACCTTTCCTCTCAGCTGTACCTTGGACGTGAGATCCAGCGTATAATTAGATGAGGAGTGTCACCTTTCCCTCCCCGCCTCGTGCCAGGGTCTGCTTCTCGGATCAGGGGCTTATCCTCATTCTACCACCAACATCATCCAGCTGGAAAAGCTCACAGCCGTCTCCACCTTCCTCCCTTTTCTCTCCTCCAGCTGAGTGCAAAACCTATGGTTTGGGGTTGTTTTGTTTCATGTTTTACCAAAAGGGTGATCTCTTGAAAGCACAGGGCCTTGCCCATCTCTACTTCCGTGCAGCTCAGTGCTTCATATTCTCCACTTGGAGTTACTGGAATTCCATTTCAAACTCCCCATGCCCAACCCCGAGCTACTGATTTCCCACCCAACGCCTTAGTGTCCCCATCTCCGTTCATGGCAGCTCCCTCCCTCCAGGTACTTAGGCCAAGACCTTCCAGTCATCCTTGACCCCTCTCTGGCACATCGCACGGGCTGCATTTGCAGGGTGGAGCCGACACCCAACCACTTCTCACCGCCTTCACCGTGACATCCTTGGTCCCGGCCCCTGGGTCACCCTGAATGGTCTGTCTGCTCCTTTCCTGCCTCCCGTCCCAGGCGACTTCCAAGAGGGCACCCTGACTGATCTCTTACAACTATAAATCGCATCATGTCTCCCCTCTGCTCCCAAAACTTCATGGTGTCCCCATTTCGCTTAGAGCTGTAGTTCCCAATCAGAGGTGATCCCCCTTCTCCAAGGGACACCCGCCATGTCTGGAGACAGTTTTGATTGTCACAGTTGGAAGAAGGGTGCCACTGGCATCTAGTGGCGAGAGACCAGGGATGCTGCTAAATGTCTCACAATGCACAGGTCGGCCCACCATGACCACAGGGGGAAAAAAAAAAGTTATCCAGTCAAAAATGTCAACAATGCGAAGGTTGAGAAACCTGAGTTGGGGAAAGAACCTTTACAATGGCCTAGAAATCTACTCGATCTGGTGTCTGTTATCTCTAAAGCGCATCTCCTACTACTGCTGTCTTCCCGATTGACCCCACTCCTGCCCTGCCGGCCTCCTGGCCCTCCCTTGTATGTGCCAGACACACTTCCACTTCAGGGTGTTTGTACAGGCAGTTCCCCATGCCTGGAATACCCTTCCTCCTGATAATCATATAGTGAATTCCTTCACCTCCTTCAATCCTTTGGTCAATTTTCACCTTCTCAATAAGGCTTCCCCTGAGCAATTTGTTTAAGCAGCTAACTCCCCTTCCCAGTGGCACTCCAAATTCACCTCATTCTGCTCTACTTTTTACTGAACATACTTTAATTTAATTGTCTCTCCAACTGACTTATGTATTAAATTGTTGTTTATTATTTGTCTTTCCCTACTAGAATGTAAGTTCCACAAGGACTTTGTTTTGTTTTCCAATGAACCTAGAATGAAGTCCGGCATTTAATAGATGTTTGATTGGTGTCTTGATGAATGAAAGAATAAAAGAGTGATGGGATTGAATGAAGGATGGTTGAAGGAATCACCTCATCGCTGGCTTTCCTGGCTCCATTGTTTGCCCACTCCGATGCATCGTGCGCTGTGCTGATGGAGTCATCAGAAAACATCCGTGCTTCCTCCTCTATAACATGGAATAATATCTAAAAGACTTCCAGTCTCTTTGAAATTCATATTCTACAAATTAATCCCAAATGTCCATCTATCCCTACTTTCCAATGCATCCCCTAGGCATCTGCTTGGCCAACACCTTAACAGAATTAGAATTATGGGAACTTTAGATACATTTGGCTTCATTATGAAAAATAAGATTTTGCAGGGTTTTGTTTTTGTTTTTGTCAAGAAGCATGAGGTAATCTTCAGAGTCAGTGTCCGCTGCAGTGAGATCAGCAGTATTCTTAGGAGACAAACAGAAGTTCAGATTTCCAGACCACTACATGCAGCCCACTACTGGGTGGACTTTGTGGAAGAGGACAGCCTAGAAGGTGAGGTTGACATCAGGCCCTCTGGAGCTCTTGTGTCCTCCTAGTCCTAGAGAGCCAGTCTGGAAGTGGACAAGAGATGCTTCCTCTGGATGAGGTGTCATCAGTCAACTACCCTTGGCGTTGTGCACAGACAGCATGATTGCAGAATGCAGAGCAGTCCTCAAGGCATAACCATGGCCTTGGAGTTCAGCTCTAGCCTTCTGCATGAGCTCAGCCTTGCTTTTGGGCTTTCCTGATGGCTCTCGAGCTAGACCAAGGATCAGTTATCCAGACTGCTCTAGGTGCTAAGGTAACAGGCCTCAGACCCTCACATGGCCCTTTGTGCAGGGCCAAGGGCATGCCTACTAGTTTTTACAACTCTCTTGATTGTCAGGCATGCTGTTGACCTTGTCTTATCACAACATTCTCTTTGAAGGACAATCCAGCATGTCCCTTCTGTTGAGTATACCTTGTCCTTGGCATTGTGTTCCTGGAAATTACTAAGTCTCCTTTTTAATTTAGATTGTAAGCAAGAAAGGAATCCTTTTCCACATGCTTGCTCACCTCCCCCTGACGCTGGGATTGATTACTGAAAAAACACAAAGTTCTGTCTATTCCAGCCTCAATAGTCCTCTCTGGCCTCAGCTCCTAAGCACCCCTGCCCCGCCATGTCCTCATCATGGCTGACATTATCCCTGTCCATCTCTCTATCTTTGCCCCTGCTGTTAAAATAGACTCTCTCCTATGACACATGGTTCAGATGTTATCCCCTCCTGAAACTTAGAGCTTCTTCCCTCTGTTCTCAATGAATTTATTCATGAACGTCATCACACCTGGCTTTGATTAAGAAGTATTTGTTTAATTATGTTAAGTGAAATAAACGATACTCAGGGAAAAAATATTATATAATTCCACTTATATGAAGTATGTAGAATAGCCAACTATACAGAGACAGAAAGTAGAATAGAGGTTATTAGGTTTTGGGGGGTCAGGAGGAATGGGGAGTTATCTTTTAATGGGTAGAGGTTACATAGGAGATGATGAAAAAGTTTTGGGTATAGATACTGGTGGTGGGTACACAACATTGTGAATGTATTTAATGCCACTTTTAAAAAGTGAAAATGGTAAAGATTACGTATATAATATTTTAAAAAGGTAACTGAGAAAAGAAGTTGTTTGTTTAAATAGTTTTTCCTTGTAGATTGCAAGCTTGTGAGAATAGTGAGAAAACATGACTTTTTCATCTTCACCCAGTACAGTGCTTTGGATGAGATAGTCGCTCTTTATTGCTTCAATTTTGGAATGGAAGTCAGTAGAAAGAACAAAAGAGTAACGTACATTTTGACATACCTGCTCCCTCCAAAAATGTATATATACAAACATACACATAAAACTACTACAAACAAAAGTGATTTTAACTTGGTTTGAAGAGTCCCAGCCCCTTTCATCAGTGAAGGCACACTTTAGGTGTCACTGCCTTAAAGGCTCCTGGAAGGGAGTCAAGCCTGCTGGTAAGGAGCCTCCTAGGGTTCCAGAGGTTCCCCCAGTGTCCTTTCATGTGGTGACCTGCATCTCTGCTCCGTGAGGTCTGTGTGTTCATTGGAAAAGTGTTGCATAAAACAGTGCACAGTACAAGGCTTAAAGCTGGCTCCTCATCACACCGTATGTTACAATACTTGTCCAGGCATGTGAATTACTAACTAATTAAACAGAGTTCTGCCTGGAGCCCTCAGTTGTTCCTTTCAGGGTAGCAACTGCTTCCTGCGTTCCCTGGACACACCTCACCTTTCCCTTGGGTCTAGCCTTCTCCCCTCTAGCTCAGATCTGGGGGAGTTGAGGGCAGTGGTCCAGGGTGGGAGAGCTAGTTTGCAGCCAGTTAATAGGAGTGAAGTACATGAAGAGAGGGGAGGGCGAAATCAGAATGGATTCCTCTCCCATGGGGGTCCAGAATGGGTGCTTTCTCTGCACTGCGGGGGATCCTAATGTGCTTTTTTTATATCTTACATTCTTCTTGAAAAGGTGGTATGAACAATAAAATTCAGGTGTGTAAGTGACATATGTCTTTAGTGGCCTCTCAATTTCTCTTTCTGGGCTATTTGGCAGCTGTCCTCTCCTGGCGTTGCCAAACTGTTGAGAGACCTCTAATAAGCCTAAGGCAGAATCTGAGGAGGATCTGGCACCCGCTGAGAACTGAGGATCGGTGTGTGTTTCTCTTCCCATACCATTTGCATTATTTTATTAGTCACATAATAAAGTTAGATGTTTTAAAGTATATAATTCAGGAATATTTTAGCACATTCATAATTGTTGTTCAGTACCACTTCTCTCTAGTTCCAAAACAATTACATCACTCCAAAAGAAAACCTTGTACCCATGAATCGACTGCTCCCCATTTCCCTCTCCCCCAGTGCCTGGCAACCACCAAACTGCTTTCTATCTCTAGATTTCCCTTTTCTAAGTATTACATAGGAGTGGAATCATACCATATGTGACCTTTTTTGTCCAGCTTCTTCCACTTGGCATCATGTTTTTGAACTTCATCCACCTTGTAACATGTATCAGGACTTAATTTCTTTTTATGACTTTGTTCGTCTTTCATTTCGGCACCCAACACACTGCCTGGAGCAAAGGAAATGACAATAAATGTCTGAATGAAAATGAATACTGACAGAATTCCCATCCCTGTAAGACCAGGTTAGGTTCATATTTGGGTAGGTCCCTCATTCAGATCAGCCAGAGCTTTGGGGGTCCTTCAGGTCTTATAGATAGGGATATCAGACCCTCCTCTTAAAATACAAGCTTTTTCATTTTTTAAAAAGATTTTTTAAAAAGATTTTATATAGCCCTGGCTGGTGTGGCTCAGTGGATTGACTGCCAGCCTGCGAACCAAAGGGTTGCTGGTTTGATTCCCAGTCAGGGCACAAGCCTGGGTTGCGGGCCAGGTCCCCAGTCGGGGGCCTGTGAGAGGCAACCACACATGGATGTTTCTCTCCCTCTCTTTCTTCCTCCCTTCCCCTCTCAGTAAAATAAATAAATAAATAAAATCTTTTTTAAAAAATAAAAAGGGTTTCCAATGCATAAATAAACCTACAAATGGATCATAGTGACATGTAGAAAAAGGAAAAAAACCTTAATACTGAGAACATATAGCAGTCACTTCACTGTTCTCAGTTCTTGAAATTAGGATCAAGGTCTTCCCTATCACCAAGGTCTTCTTCACCTACTCAGATCATCAAGTAGCCATCATATGCCAGGCACTGTGTTCCTAAGAGATGCAGCTGTGACTAAGAGATAGTCCCTCCCACTGTGGGGCTTAGGCACTGGGGAGATGGAGTCAGGAATTACATTCCTGATGAGGTATTTATTTATTTCAACTGTGATGAGCTCTATGACCGAGAATAAGAGTGCACTGAGCTCATGAAGAGAGGGCGTTGGTCGAGGGAGACTTCTACGAAGGGACATCAGATGTGATTATCAAAGGGTAGACTAACCAGGCACTGAGGGAGTAAGAGTGGTCCAGGGAAGGAGGATCATCGGGTGTTGGAAGAACTAAAGTCCACGTGTCTACTGTGCAGGTAGAAGTGTGAATTTGATGTGAGGCTGAGAGGTCAGCAGGGTTAAAACACTCAGCCATGAAGCCAAACCATACTCATTGTTACTCCAATAATGTCCTCAAAAGTTGTCTGAATACATTTCAAGAAATCACTCTAAACACTTTGATAGCTACACTAGAGTGAATGTATGATCAAGAAAAAAAAAATTTCATTTTTGACCTTGTTTGCTTACTTGGTACAGGGACAGGAGTTTTCAGGCAAAGTGAATGAATCAATCAATATTGGATGGAGAACAGGGGAGAAGCATCCAAAGTTAACATTACCCTAATTCCAGAACACTATAGTGAATGTCTTGGAAAGCATCATCCTCTGAGACTCTCAACTCTGAACATGTGAGGGGCAGAGAGGTCATTAGTGCCTAAATTAATATTCAAATTGAATCTACTGATAGGTTAGTTCAGGATTAACGTTCTGCATTTTCCCCATTAACCAAGGGAAATCGTGTTACACCTAAAATTGGCACAGTCTCAGGTTATATTTTACTTTAGATTTCAAAACCACTTGTGACTATTTTGGCAGAATGTATATCTGAGGTGGTTGTTTTTTAAACAACCCAGATGTGGATTGGTTTTTTTATGTAGGCTGCCTGGAAGGAGCTTTAATCTTTGGCTGCTTCTTACATATAGATACCATGCTGAACAATTTAGATTTCAGGAAGTGAATATCTTTTTTTAATTTCAGGAAACTGGACTGTAAACAGTCTTTTCATTCTTGTGGTTAAAGAAAATCATTTCTCTGGACCTCTAATATTTGCTAATCTCAAGGGAAAGGCAGGGTACATGAGTCAGTCATCCAGACCCTGCCAATGAGGTGACCAATGAATCTGAGGATGAACAGTGGGTACACTCTTGACTCTCATTTGGGCCTCCCCCCTCCCTGCGGTGTGTACAGATAATCTGAATGTGGTTGTCCTATTTAGAGGTTTCCACATGATCTGCCATGTCTTCTGTTCACAGCTTTTACTCCTCGGCCGCCCTGCGTCTGGGTTATTAGGTTCTGCAAGTTCTTTGCAGTCTGACCCAGACCTCCAGCCGAAGATGGTGATGATGAGCAGCCTGAGAGCCGTTCTCCAGGCCTCCCCCTGCAGATCTCTGTGGGGGAGAGTCCAGCCCCCCAGCGCCCCGCCAGTGAGGCCCTGCAGCCTGTACACCTGCACCTCCAGATCCCGGAACCGCGCCTGTGAGTACACCGCGGCCTCAGCGGGCAGGAGGCCAGCAGTTTCGTAACAGTCCCGCGTGTTGAGGATCTGTAGGCAGGACGTCAGTGCCCTCCACGGTGGCTTTATAGGGACATACCACGCCGGTAAGTCTGAGGTGTGCCACGTGATGACTTGACACACGTGCATATTGCAAAACGATTACCGCAGGAAGAGTTGGAGAGCGCTTTTCTGGACCAGTTTTAACACGTTAAAACGATGTCACGCAGAACTAGGACAAGGGAGATATCGCAGTTCCAAGTACTTTGGAACCCGTCCTTTATAGCGTCTTGTTCGCATCGTCTTTGTATTAGGGTTGATCCACCAACCGCGAATGATTTCTGCGCATCTGAACATCCTGCAAAATGCACATGCATGCTTGCTAGCGGTTCAGAACAGTCGCCCCACACTCTGGAATATTCTTTCCCGAGTAGCAGGTGCAGTTACTTCGGGCTGACCAACTTGTCACGTGTGTGCTCTGCTGTAAACCCAGCCGGCGAAGTGAGGCAGCGGATGGTCTTCGGGAATCCTGTCGCATCCCATCCCGCGCTGAGATACCAGTTACATCTGGGTCTCTGTGGGCCAGGGACTCTCTCCTGTGGGACTGCTGACATGGAGCGGGTGGTTCTGGGGAGTCGGGGGCCGTTTTGCGCACTGTGCGATGGTGGATGGCATCCCTGGCCTCTACCCACTGCATGCCAACGGTAGTGCCTACCCTGCTGGAACAGCAAAAAATGTCTGCACACCTTACCAAGTGAGCTCTGGGGAAAAAAAATTGCCCCTCGTTGAGAACCATTGAGATAATAGGAGAGGATAACCTGTATATTTGTGGAGAGACGAGTTTGAGTTTATGGAGAGATGAAATAGGTAAGTATAGCACTGAAGAGGAATTTTTTATATTTTCCATTATTTGAAAGAGGTTGACTCAGAGTTTTCAAATATTGTTTTTCTTCTAGGTCTGGATTTCTCTACTCTTTCTCTTTGAGTTTAGTCTCTTTTGGCCTCATATGCGCCTAACAAAAAATATGTAAGAAAAGAATGCTTCTAAATTAGGAATGATAATCTAGCTAAATCCAAGGATTTGAAACTGCTCCATAAATATATTTTTATTGATAGTGTATTTTGTTTCCTCCCATGTTGACTATGTTCACATTAAAAAGAACTGACCATTAATCAGTAAAATAAACTTTAAAAATAAAAAACAAAAAGAACTGGCCAGAGTAACAATGCATTTCTGGTTGCTGGGTGTGGTTTCCTACCAGCAAGCCCACATCCTACCCAGACTGACTAATTTTCAACACTGGCACATTGAGGCATAAAGTGGAAAAAAATAGTCATATTATCTAGCTAATAGAATTTTACTTTTTAAACAGAAAGTTGAAAGGTGTAAGTCTAAAATCCAATATGCTCATATTTTTAGCATAGTTTTGCTTCTTTTTTGCTGACAAAAAAAAAATAGTGGTGGCTTGGGAAGGTGGAGTTCCCTTGATTACATTCCCACATCAGATGTCCTTGTTGGTAAATTGCTAAGAGAAACAGGTGACAGTCACCGTTTGATTTGGCTTTTGTCATATGAAACCATCTCTCCCTGTTTTCACCCAGAAGACCCATAAGGTCCCTGCTCCCTGGGCCAGTGCGCATGTCTTTTTCTGCTTCCCTGGCGTAAAAACAATATTCACTGTGTCTGGCAGCTCAGTGCCCCAGCAGAAGGCCCAGCACTCGCTGGCGTGTGGCCAGGAATGAGCAGGCGTGCTGAGGGGTAGCCGAGATACCTGGGCGGTGCCATGGCGGCTGTCCTGGTCCTGGGAGTGTCGTCCTCATCACCACAGGCTCGGTGCCTCCCCCAAGTTGGACCATATTTAAAATGGGGTGAAGCAGATGAGGCTGCCAGTGAGGGAGGAGGACACGGCAGATTGAGAAAGCAGCATCACACTAGAGCTGCCTGCTTTACCCTCGCTGCCCGCCCTCCGCGCAGGTAATCCCTGGCTGTCAACTCTGATTGCTGCTTGCTGTTATCTCAAGTAGGGACAGTAAATGTTGACAGTCTTAACTGTGGGGACTGGTGACATGATAAAATGTAGATACCCAAGAGGAAAGTTCAATCAGTTTCAATTAGTGTACCATCCCATGAAATGTAGCAGAGTTGTTACGTAAAAAAAAGGGAGGCATCAGATCTTAGACCAGGAGAAAATAAATTTAATTATGCTGATTCTTAACGTAATGAACTACAAAGGCTCTCATCTAGAACGGAAACGGTATAGATTTGTTATTGTTCCAATGATTCTTAATGTCATGATCTCCTTACTTTCAGAAAGAACGGAAACATTTCTTTTCAGGACTAGCTAGAATAGAATGGGACTGTATAAAATGCAGACACCAGCCTCATGTGTGTATTTACATGTAAATTTAAATGTATTAAAATGTCATGGCCACATGTGGCTAGCACTTACCATTGTTGGAAGTGCCCATTGTCAGAGAAAGTTCTGTTTGACAGGATTGGTCTATGTTATAAGTGAACTGCGTGAGAGGGTTTTTCCTTATTTCTCCAGTCAGTGGTGAGGAGCACAGATGAAGGCTGGAGGGCAGCAGTGCAGTGCGTCCTCAGCCAGCATCAGGGATTGTTTCTTGGAGGCTGTGACTAGCCAATTTTTCCATAGGCTCATTCCTATAAATAAGAGGTAAGTTCCTATGGCATATATCTGGGTATCCATGAGCCTGTGGTGAAATTGGTTTCACAGCAGGTTGTTGCGCTTAAAGTTGCAGTGTCCCAGAACTGTGTTGAAGACTTAAGTGTATCAAAAAGCTTGTTTTGCAATGTCTTCTTCACCAAGAATTCTGGTAATTTCAGAAAATATAGGCCAGGAACACCCAGACTGCGTTGTCTTTCATGAACTTTCCACAGGGCTTGAGAAACAGTGGCCTGGTTAAGAGCCCCGTGGGACCCCATTAATGACCTGTGGGGTACTTGCTGCTCAGGAGCCACAGGCCTTGGTGTCCAGCGCCAGGGACTGCAAATGTGTGCCGTGGTGACCTGGGCTCAGCACCACAGGGACCTTTGCAGCCCTGATGCTCTCACAGGGCAGTGTGCTGGGACCACCCTCCCAAAGTCACATGGAGGGCCCCAGTGTGTCTCATCATGGCACCAAAGCCTCGGCTTATTAGGGTGGTCTCCAGTTAGGTGAGGAAGCAGCACATCTCAGTGTGAAGCTCAGTGCAGAGCAAGAGACAGGAGGAAAAGCTAACAAGCATATAGAGTAATGCTGTCCAGTAGTTAAATAATGTGAGCCACAGAAATGAGCCATGTAAGCAATTCTATATTTTCTAATTATCTCTTTTTTAAGAAAACAAATAGTATGTCAGTTATATCTCAATAAAACTGGGGGGGTGTAGTCAATTTTGATCATTTGTGAAATTAATTATACTAATACAGAAAATATACAGGTGAAACATAGTATATAGGTGAAACTAATTTTACTAATATACCTTATTTAACACAATATGTCCAAAATATTATCACTTCAAAATGAGACAAATAGAAGAACTATACATGAAATATTTTACTTTGTTTTTTCCTAAGCCTTCAAGGTCCCTAGGCATTTTACATTTGCAGCACATTTCAATTTATACTAGTCACACTAGGCAAGTGGAGACCATGTTAGACAGCACAGGCACAGAGAGCACTTGCTTAGGAGTAACAGCCGATGAGGGGCACTTAATGCAACATGGGGTTGTCAGGGAAGGAGCTTGAACTGACCTTGAGAGCCTGGTAGGATTTTCAGAAATGAGAGAGAAACAGGCAGGTGTGATCATGTGAACGCAGGATGTGTCCTGGGGTAGACCTGCTTGTCTAGTTCAGAAACTGGGTGAGAGGTAAGGTTAGCAAGCCTTACTATCAACTTGTTTGGTTTTTTCTATCAGTAGAATAAGCATTAAGTGCCTCCCTTGTGCTTGGTACCAAGTTCAGCCCTGGGCCTATAGGAAAAGTGCAGGACTCTGGCCCTAAGTACTTGGAGTTGACATAGGCCCTTTGAGCAGATAAAGTAAATGTACACTGCATGAGGCATGTTTGGGTGCTAAATAGTGTGAGAGTGAATGCAATGTGAGTTCAGCACAAGGAAAGGTCAGAGTGGTTGGAGGAAACATCAAGACCAGAGTTTGGGAAGATGGAGTAGAGGGGAGTGGGGGAGGGGCCAAAGCAACCAGGAGACATGGTATGAAAAATAGGCCAAGGAAAAGTTAATCCTGGAAGATTTTTAAAGAAAAAATCATGTAGTCAGTAGGGTAATATGAAATAAAGATGAAAGGAGAATAAAACCTTCCCAGTGATGTTCTTGATCATATTCATTCAATGCTCAAGCAATTCAAAGCCAGCTCAGTCCTGGTGTGCGGAGCAGCAGAGCAGGCAGGTTATTACACATCTGTGTGTAGTGAAGGACAAATTATTTTCATTCTACCCTTCTGAATTCTTGGCTGAACTCCCCACCCCATAACAAAAGACAGACTAATCAAAGAAAAACAAACATAATTTTAATAACATGGATACCAGGCCAGAAAAAGAAAAAGAAAAAATGTTTTGGGAACAAGTTAACATATAAAATGGTTTTATATAAAACATCAACTGTCTTGTATATCTTGATAAGCAGCGGTACCAGCTTCATTTTAATGCAGTCCGTGGCATTGGAAAAAAGAATTCTGTGATTGTTGAAGTGAATTATAAGTGCAAACAGAAGATAAATATTAAAAAATATTTTCTTTAAAAAAATAAAAAATATGGATACCTCCTGTATACATGGGACAGACAGAGACCCAGGAAAACTGAGTAACTCCTCAAAATGACCCAAGCCACCACCTTGCTCAGACGAAACAGTCTCAGTAGTCCTCACAAACTCTGGGTATTTATAGTCTAAATGTCCCCTAGCCACAGTTGTTTCTTTATAGGCTCTTATGGATAAACCACTGTGGTGCCCCTCAGCAGCTTAGCAACTGAGTGCTCATCAATGAGAACAGATGAGATGACATCCTGACAAAGTTTATGTCACTCATATCAAAACAACTTCATTCTTAGATCAAAACAGCTTCACTCTTAAAAACTTCAATTTTCATAATAAGCAAGTCAATTTTAAATCATATCAAACTGATGCACAACAAGTATGAATTCTCATGTCCCCAGCCACATGTCTGAATATCTCAGGGGGGAAGATATGAAGACTCTTTGTGCCAGGAATAGTTGAAACTGAATCAGGGCTGTTCTAGGTGTTTAAAAATATCACAAAATCAAATACAGCTTCTTCATCCCAACAACAGCACTTCAATAGTAAAATTAAAGGGCATGTGTCAAAAAAGACACTACAGGACAACAAAAAAGGAGGAAGTTATGGCTCCTGCCTGCCAGGAATTTGCAGTCTAATCCAATTATAATATGAGTACATTGTACCAATTCATATACATTTTCTGTTTTAAATTTCTGAAACAGTTCTTGTTCTTCACAAGCTCTTTCATACTAAGGGGAAAAACCCAAAACATTAGTTTCAGACCTCTCTAGAGATGGGAGTACTGCATTATATTTAAAAAAATAGAAAGAAAAAAGTGAATGCTCTGAGTTTGCCTTTGCTTTTAGGTCTAGACCAAGATTTCTCCGCTTTGGCATTGTTAACGTCTGGGGCCACAGAATCTATGCATTATGGTATGTTTAGCTGCATCCCTGGCCCCCACCCACTAGATGTCAGTAGCATCTTCCTTCAGTTAAAACAACCAAAAATGTCTCTAGACATTGCTAAATGTCTTCTGGGGGTATAAGCCCTCTGTTGAGAACCACTGGTCTAGAAACTTCCTGGAGAGCTTTATGTCTATACTATACTTTTGCCCAAAAAGACAAGGTTAAGATCTTGCACTTCCACCTTTGGGTAACTACCTCAAAGAAAAGAACGTTTCCTCTGTAAGAATAAACCAGAGGCAAGTTTCTGTTTTGTTTGTTGTTGTTGTTGTTGTTGTTGTTGTTTTTAATACAAACAGGAGTGTCAGGGGCCCTGCCATACACAGGGAGGTTTGACTGCATAGCAGCTGCCTTGTCACTTTCTCAAATCGTTAGACTCATTCTTAGCATTGGGTGAGGTGCAGAGGGTTGTCAGTAACGATTTCTCTTGATTCATATTTCTTCTCATTCTCCTGTTGGTCTTAGTTCTACCCACCCGTGGTGCTTCTAAAGGGCAGGGAACTGTAACACCCCAAATTATATATGTGGGTTCAATCCATCATGCATGGACATCTGAACAGATCTATCTGTGTTACGAGGAAGTCTGCTGAGATTTATCAGGGACTTGCCACAAAGACTGTTACCAAACTGAAGGGGTTCATTTGTCTGCAAGCATCGAAGCTCAGTAAAACACAAACAAGGGTTAGCAGCGAGGAAAGTAAAGGTTTACTTAAGGAAATGGCACCAAGACCAGAGCACAGGGGAGTGATGCTCAAAGACCTGGCTCCCCGATGGCTTCCATGAGGGCCAATTATATACACGAAAAATGATCAATCATGGTGGCTAAGGCAGTGGGCTCATGGGCTCTACTGATTGGTTGGAGCCAGAGAGGGACCTGTGATCAGTATATCAGGTCCCAATGTTAGCCATGGTGTCGTTTTGTCCAGTTTTGTGAAGGTGTGGTTGGTAGGGACGTTCTGCTTTTATGAGGCTGGAGCTGAAACACAACTGAGGTCAAGATGTTATCGTTCGTTTCAAACTGTTCCCTAAGCAACAGACCTGTGGCTTTGTTCCTAAGATCACTTGATGCTAACCAGAACCTGGTGTTCTAAGGGTTTAATGATTAAAGGAGTGTGTGTGCGGTATGTCATGGTACTATTAGGCTGGACAAAGCCAGCTCAAATTAAGGAAAAAGTCATATTAAAGAAATGAAGTTCCTGTGCAGTTACAATACCTGGCGCTTGAATCTTTGGGAGAAAAATCAGCATCAGCGCTGTCATCAGTGCCCATGTGGGACAAGCTGTGTATATATACCTTAACATATAATGTCTATAGCTATTCACATTATGAACAAAACTCTAGGACCCTTAGTAATGCTAATATTCTACCCAGGTTTTGCAGAATGGCTGCCTAATCCTCAAAGCTTGCTCATATACGAGGTAAATTCCGCATGCATGCTTAAATAGGACCATCTAATTCCTCCAATGGGATTCATCTTTCTCTGGTTCTCTTCGCTCTGACATGCTTCCCTACTGTGATTCAAGAAGTATTTGAGTCTGTACTTATGGGCTTAAGTGTCTCATGTCCCCCATTTTCCTCTTTCTCCTGACATAGAACTGCCTGGTGTGTAATCCCAGATAAGGGACATCCTGACAACAGTCCTGATGTGCTTTCTCCTAGTGCACCCACTCTGGGAGAGAATGGACCTGGTCCCGGGAGGTGAGCGCCAGTCGCCCATCAACATCCGGTGGAGGGACAGTGTCTACGATCCTGACTTAACACCGCTCACCATCTCTTATGACCCTACCACCTGCCTACACATCTGGAATAATGGATACTCTTTCCTCGTGGAATTTGAAGATTCCACAGATAAATCAGGTGAGAGCCAGACTGGTACTCTCATCTGGAGTTAAAGGCACAGTTTCATGTTGGCACAGGCCACATCACACTGTCTCCGTGGGAGCATGGACCTCTTTTGTTAGCAATGATGAGACACACTGGACTTACCTTTTCAATGTATGAAAATAGTCCCTTAGAGTTTTATGCACATTTTCTTTTATTATAGGTAGTATTGTTATGAATAAATATGCATACCTCTAAGTATAGATTCATACTTGATTTAGAAGATAGGGTGTGAAATAAAGCTATGTCCAAAATTTATTTTGTACATGTTTATGCAAACCGTGCAGATTTCTTTTTCCAAGTCAAATTTGATGGTATCAAATAGTCCTAAGTAGATTGAAATAATTATTAGTTGAAATAGTGTATCTTAAGGCTTAAAGAGAGGTGTGGCAATTCAACCAGTGGCAATTTTGCCACCCCTTCTTTCCCAGGGACTGGGGATACTGGGCAATATCTATAGACATTCCAGCTGTCACAACTGGAGGATGGTGATATGACGGGCAGTGGGTGGGTCAAGGCCAGGAATGCTGCTAAAGATCCTACAGTAGACAGGATAGCATTCATGAAGAGTTATCCAGCCACAAATATCTTTAGAGCTGAGATTGAGAAACCCTTAAAAGAAATTAAGGATCAAGTCAAGGAACATGTATAAAGGACCCATGGACAAAGACAAGGGCGGGGAGGATTGAAAGTGGGAGGTGGGGGTGGGTGGGGCAGGGGAGAGTAATGGGAGAGAAATGGGGACAATTGTAATTGAACAAAAAAAGTGAAATTAATTTCCTCTTATGAATATGAGGAAATGAGTCTATGAAAATATTCATGAATGAAGTAAAAGTGTAAATTAAAGCATAAAGAGAGATGTTCACTCTTGTGTTTATCCTGGCTCTAGGATTCTCAACCCTATCTTGGTTTTCCTTGCATTTTTGTAGTGATGCTCTGAGACCTACACATTGCCCTCTGGCCCAACTGCAAACAGACTGATCCTTCGATGGGGTTCATCTCTCTCTGGCTCTCTTCCCTCTGACATACTTCTCTGCTGTGATTCAGGAAGTATTCATATCTGTCCTTAAGTGCTTACGTATCTCCATGTTGTCACCCATTTTCTTTTTTCTCTTCCATGGTAGTACATGATCCCAAAACCCTAAACATCTAGTTTCTCAAACTAGAAATTACTCCCTTTTCTGCAGATTCATCAGTGTCTTTCTTAATTTTTCTAAACCCTAGAGTTTGCCCCCATCTCAACTGGAAGCCTGTATTATTACATTTTGTGTAAGGATTCTAGGAACCTTCATAACAGCAAGCTAAAGTCCTGTGTTCCAGGTGACCATCTTGCACTGTGGTGAGCTCTACCATTACTCCTGCCAGAGCTAGACTAATGAACGAGCTCAATGTATAGAATACCAGCTCTCATACATTCACTCTGGATGCATAGCAATCCTCTCGATTACTGAGTTTCAATCCCAGTTAGGTCCTTAGCAACCTTCTTTCTTTTGAGGATCCCAAATGGTGGTCAGCCTTCTAATGACCTTAACAGTCTAGGGACTATTGTCAATATATTATTGCTTTGTTGAGTTAGAAATCTTAGGAAGTTGTTTAATGGGGTTTTTAATCAAGTAAATTAATCCCAAGAGAGTTCAATGCAACACTAGATCCAAGAATTTTTATCCACCCATTTGCATGGGCAATCTCTTACTGAAAAGCAAGTGACCAGCATTTTCCTCATAATAGCTCTCTAGATACCTCTAAATACAGCAAACTAAATCATTCCTTATCTTATCTTCCCTAGGTGAGTTAGTGTCACATTATTTTTACAAAATGCAAGAAAAATGGTAGAGAGGTTACTAATTCTCCACTTGTTTTATCTGTAAGGACAAAAATAAGTAACTCCTTTTCATATTTTCATTATGCTTTAATAATTATTTTCTTTAAGATACCATTAATCTTTAGTAAGTAACTAACTCTCTACCTCTTTCTTTTTCCATATTTCAGTGACTGCCTCCTATCTCCTGCTTACTCTTCACTGCTATTTCTCTGTGCTTTTTCAAAATACTCAATAGCATTCAAAGAGGAAGAAAGGATGAACGAGCATAAAAAAAATAAAGAAAAATAAAAGAAAGCAAAGGCACCCTATGGAGGAAGAAAGGCAAGAAACAACTCTAATTCTAGGGGGGAAAAGGATCTAATAAATATCAATGTCTATAAATTTCCCTCCAAATAGTAGGAAATGCTGCTACAGTGTGTTTTATAAAAAGTGAGGATAAAGTGTGCAAAGGAAGGAGCTGGAGAAAGTATGTGACAAACCTAAAACATGCCAAATCTTATGGGATGCAGCAAAAGCCGTGCTTCAAGGGAAATTTATAGATGAAAATGCCTATGTTGGAGAAGAAATTTTTGAAATCAATAACCATGCCTTGTACCTTAAGAAACTAAAAAGAGAAAAGAAAACTAAACCCAAAGCAAACAGAAAGAGGTCATAATAAATAGCAGAAATCAGTGAAATCAAAAGATGGTTTTTCTAAAGATCAACAAAATTGACCAACCTTTAGCTAGGTAGACCAAGGGGAAAAATAAGAGAAAACTCAAATTACTAAAATCAGGAAAGAAGGAGGGACATCTGGAGCAGCCTTACAGCAATTAAAAGGATAAAAGAAGATATGTGAGCATCTCATACGACTGCCCTCTGCTGGGTATTGTTTTGTTACTTGGCTCCCCTGAAGAGGACACAGTTATTGATTTTAATAAGTGCATATGAGGTATGCAAAATACCATGGGAAAGGGCACTGAATTATGCCTGGGCTGAGTCCCATGGATGATTCCTGTAGATGATCTCCTCTGAAATTATTCCCATCAGCAATATCACCAGGATGAGTCCTTTTGTTCTCCTAAGGATGCTTCCTGCCCCATCTGGCTTCCCTTCACAGTTTTAGGAGCATCACCAATGAACCTACTAAAAATGCATTCACAAGCATTTTAAGTTCTCCTTCCCTATTTTTGGTCTTATATCTACTTTTTTGGAAAAAAAACAGTAATGATTTTTAGTAAATTTTCAGAGTGGTACAACCATGACTATAATCCCATTTTAGAGTGTTTCCATCATCCCCAAAAGTTTCATGCCCATTCCTGCATTTCCTTTTATTTGTATGGGGCTTGTGTATTACCTTTCCCTTCACCACCCATTTTCTCTGCTGGCTCCCTCACCTCCACATTAAAAGCAAAAGAAGGGAGTGAACATGACATAGGCTGCTTACCTGACACTATGCTAGGGGTTTTATATTTGTTATATAGATTTTTACAAATTTAATCTCCTCTCATGTTAGAGCACAGAAAGAACAAAATATCAACAAAATAAGTATAGAATTATTTGACAAACCTTGTGACTGCTGTGCTTTCTAATTCACTATTTTTTGTCTCCCTTCTCTGCCCCGTTTCTTGCCGACTGCACTTGCCCCTCTCATCCATGCATCTGCCTTGCCTGACCTCACCCTCTTCCTTGCTCTTGCTGAGGTTACCAGTGATGTTTCAACTCACAAACCCAACAGACTCTTTACAGTCTATTTCTTGAGTTCCTGGTTTCAGCGAGGATTTTCTAAATGTCAGGCACTGTGCCAGGTGCTCAGAATAGAAAGAGGAAGATGGGACAGTTTTGCCTTTAAGGAACTTATAATGTGGTGGGGAGATAGAACTGGTGGGACCGTCTCTCCTGTCCAACCTATTGTCACCCAGTGGAAGTGTGTGCCCAACATGGTCAGGGTGTCTTGTTCTCAACATAAGTTGGAAATATGGATTTTTGTGTGAAATATTCCAGATTTAAATGTTGGCAATGAATGTAAAAATGTCTTAAGTATTATGTGGGTGAATCCAAACACACCTGAAGACAAATTCTGACCCCCTTCCCTTGAAGCTACCCATTGGTGACGTCTCCTCTCTGCTGTGCTCATCAACTTTGAAGGAGACACACAGTAAGTGTCCAGGAAGTGTTGCCAGTGTGTTTCTGGGGATAGGATAGAAAAGGTGGCCCTCTCCTCTGTCCTGGTCACTTAACTTGGAGCCAGAACTTCAATTTCATTCAACAGATTAGATTGAATATTTGCCAAACTCATGCTCACAATATGGAGATGGCACAGAACGATAAGAATTTTGAGATGTTTTATTTTTATATCAATACACTTTAATTCCTATTAATTTAGCGAATCATGTGCTATTATGCTCTGCACCTCCCCTATTCCCCAAAGAAGACATTAGTGTCTTTGCTCAATTCTTACAAAACTCCTTTTTAAAGAGGAAGTTAGATAAAGTATTTTCAAAAGCCAGTACAATACATAGCATACCACTGTATGACATATCCGGTGTTCTTGGGAATCTCTGTACTCACTCATTCCTGTACATAAAATTCAACGAATGATGAGATGTACTCTAAAGATCATTAAGATAGATGAGATGGTAGTTTTTGCATTGTTATATTGGTTTAGCCATGGGCAGACATCACCAGGGTCTGATTAGTTGGAAGAAATGAGGAACTAATATGCTTTAGGAAATTCAAGCACAAGAAAAAAAAATCAACACCACCCAAAGCCTGAAAAAGGGTAACTTGAAAAAACTCATATCCAAATATTTTCCCTATACTGTAATGTATTGATTTCACTAATTTCAGAAAACTTCAGTCTAAACAAAAGGTATTTATTATCTAACTCAGTGAAGCTAGTGGTGAAGTGTGTATATGACTCACATTGTTCACCCTGTCCAAAGGGAGATGGGTGATAATTTTAACTTGCAAATATCCTATTCCATTTCAATCAAAGGGAAAGAAGCTGTAGTATCCACAAAAATTAAAAAGCAAAGTATCAGTGCATAAAAAATAGAGTATCTTTTGTCCCCATATTTCAGTTCTATGAAATTGGGTTAGATAAATATTCTGAGAGAAATATGCATTTTACTGTACTGACAGAAAAACTGGTTAGAGTAAATGTAGAATATAAAAATAAGTCAAGAATTGGCCTTTGACAATTGTGTGTACCTTGGAGTGTAGTTAAGTCTCAGTGTCATTCAGAGTACAGGTCTCCCCCTTGCACATGTATTAGCTGTGTGGAACTCAAGTGTATAAAGCCTTGAATATAATACAGTGCGCTCCATTTAAGACAGTTCATATAGAAGGTTCACCCACAGATTCAGCCTTTCCCCTGCATCTTCCATGGCGTCAAAAACTGCCCACTAAATTGTTGGATGTGCCATTTCAGTGATCAAGGGAGGACCCCTGGAACACAACTACCGATTGAAGCAATTCCATTTTCACTGGGGGGCCATCGATGCCTGGGGCTCCGAGCATACTGTGGACAGCAAGTGCTACCCAGCAGAGGTAGGCTGGGAAGCAAGGGAACAGGGGCAACTAACTGTGGAGAAGTGGGGGTAGTTCTGAGTTTCTAGTTCAAAGAAATTCTCAGGAAGGATCGGGTGATGCCTATAAATCTAAATAGCTCTCTCAGGGGCATATTAGATTATTCCCAGCTATTACATGTAAAATCATAACTGCCCTCCTCTCAAATTATATAGCAGAAAGGAAACTTATGGTTCCAAAATGGAATTCTTTCAGAATTCTAAGCTAACTTCGAATCATAGGCAAAAGTAAAAACCCAGACAAGAGTGTAGGGCCACCAGGTCCAATTAATTCAAGTGAGAGATGGTGGGAACCTACTGGTAAATGAAGGCTGCGACAATAGAAATAGAGAAAAAGAGAGATTCTGAAGTAAGAGCAACAGGACTTGAGGCAGGGTCCCCTAAAGAGGACCTAAAGATGAGGAGAAGAAAGGAGAGGAAGGTAACCATGACCTTGAGGGTCTTGCCTGGGAGGCTGGGTAATGAAGCATTCCCGAATGGTGGATGAGGAATAATTTGTAGTGAAATACAGGGAGCACATAAGCACAGAGAATTTCTTCTAACAACTTTCCCCCTAATTTAGTTTTAAGTGACAGGTTTTAACTGGTTCTCAAAGAAATGTGTCTTTAACTCCTGTCCAATTTGCATAGGGAGAGTCAATTTCTCTCAAGATAAATATCTCTCCTTTCTATGCAAATGGTTGGGATATGAGTACTTCATGCAAATTAGGATGGGAATGGACAAAAGTTGCTCCCTCACTGAAATGCTACTCACTCTGCTATATATAATTTATTTTTCTCCCCAAATAAATGTCTCTATTCCCAAGTAAAATTAATTTTTGCTGCTGCATGTATTTCTTCTTGTTCTTTATTTCTATCTCATTTTGCACCACACTGTCATATGCTTTCCCCAGTGGTTTTATTTTGGGTGAGAAAACATGTTAGAATATTGTATATTGAATAAGACTGCCTGTCTTGGAGTGATCCTATGTGGTCATGTGTCAAACCATCTTTTAATGATGTTTCAGCTGCATCTGGTGCATTGGAATGCAGTCAAATTTGAAAACTTTGAGGATGCAGCACTGGAAGAAAATGGTTTGGCTGTGATAGGAGTGTTTTTAAAGGTAAAAAAAAGTTACTAACTTTAAATTATGTGTAGTATTCTAGGACGAAAGAATAGAACATTGCAATACTAAGTTCTAAGAATACTGGGATAAAAATAAACAATGGTTAAAATGCAAGATTATTATGAAAATATTTTAAATGGTATAAACATGCACAGTCCAATAGCATCGTCACAAGCCACAAGTGACAACTGAGCACTTGAAATCTGCTTATTTTGACTGTGGAACAATTTTTAATTTTAATGAATTTAAATTTCAATTTAGGAACTGCCAGTTAAATGGAGGACGCCATTCCCTGCAGGCTTGCTGACCCTGTCAGCAAGCAGCCTGCTCATCTGTTTTGTGTCTAATTTAATTCTGTGATGTTTATAGCATTCTACATGACCAGTTTAAGTGTTGATGATGTAGTATGGTTGGTTGGTTTGTATGTCATAACCAGGTGGTTAATTTTGATTCACATTCTATTATGGCTCCAAAAGTGAGATGTCAATTGTTTTTAATACTTTCTCATTGCTTCTTCTTTAGTTAGGGAAACATCATAAAGAGCTACAGAAATTGGTGGAGACACTGCCATCAATTAAGCATAAGGTAATATTTTTTTTCCAGCATCACTTGAAATATATTTTATGTTTCAATTTCAGAGTGGAAACACTAACAAAGCCCCTTGATTTTGGAAATGTAATTAATGTCAATGTAATTGAGGTTCTCTTTGAAAGTTCCCTAGACGACAACTTGCCATTTATGATGCTTGTGTGTTGAGAATGCCCCTTGTGTTGAAAACCTTTCAGGGGACAGAAGGGTTTCCATTGGTGGGCACTGGCCACTCTACTCTGTTTTTGCTGCTGGGAACATAATGGGGTCCCCTCCTCTGCTCCTGACACCTGCTCCTTCTCAGGCCTTGGGGACACCCTCAGAGCAGCCTTCTTGACTCCTGCTACCCTCCCTCAGGCAGGAAGCAGAGAAAAGGTGGACTGAAACTTGGCTTGTCCACCTTTAAAGAACAACTACCTATATCCTTCAGCATGGGAACCTTTGTCCAGCCCCAAGATGCGTTGTTCAACATTCTGAATACCAAAGGGGCCGCTCCCTGAAGTCCATACACTCTCTACCCCCCTCTCCCTTCCTCTGCATCTCCTCCTTTTTCCTCTCCTCTCTCCCTCCCTTTTGAGTCCAGGATCCTGGCTCCTCCTAATTTGCATTGCATTTTAGAAAGGAGGAGGACTCTGTTAGTCTCTTGAAAAAGGAAGCCTCCTTACTTATGCCCCAGCCCCTGCCTAATGCCTCCTGACCACCTGCTGGAAACTCACCAGATTAGACGGAGAAAACGGTTCCGCTGTGTTCCCACTGAGGAGTCTCAGAGAGACAGTTAATTGCAGGAACAACGCCTGGCCCTGATTCAGTCCTAAGGTGCCCAGAGGGCCCAGGGAGCTCCTCTGGACCGCTGCTGGTCCCCAGGCACCCCTAGAATCATTGCCTCATCGTCTGATTCCTGAGTGTTTTCACCACGAAATGATAGCTCCGTGACCCCTTCTCTTGGCCAGGACACCCTCGTGGAATTTGGGTCATTCGACCCTGCCTGCCTGATGCCCACCTGCCCGGATTACTGGACCTACTCGGGATCCCTGACAACCCCACCACTCTCCGAGTCCGTCACCTGGATCATTAAGAAGCAGCCTGTAGAGGTTGATCACGATCAGGTGCGTTCTTTCCACGTTTCAGCCCCTTCAGAACAGGGCTGGGCTCAACTTTTGGGATCAGTCTTCAGCATCTTACAATGCTTATACATTTGTGTTAAAAGGTGCTAACTTCTTGTCTAATTTGGGTATGAAGTAGGAAATGCTTCAATTAACCAGAGAGAGGTTACAGCTTAACGAAACAAGCTTTTTAGTTCCATATATGACAATGATAAGTGTTTAATGTATTGTGTATTTTATATATAAATATGAATTTAAACAAGATACTTTTAAGGGGAAGAATGAAGGTTAGAAATGGATGTGCTCGAAACCCTCTAATCTTCTTAAGGTAATTTTGCTCTGGAATTTCAGGATAAAGAAAGAATCCAATAATGTCTATCTACAAATTTTATTTAAAGTCAGTATTTTACATTATTGTAAAAATGAAAGTAATGTATTCATGTAGTGAGGCTGTTTTCCCATTGAAACGATTTATGCTTTCTATTTCTATTTCTAGCTTGAGCAGTTTCGGACTCTCCTTTTCACTTCCAAGGGGGAGAAAGAGAAAAGAATGGTGGACAACTTCCGTCCCCTTCAGCCCCTCATGAATCGCACTGTGCGCTCATCCTTCCGTCATGATTTCATGCTCAATATACAAGTGAAGCCCAAGCCGACGACCAGCCAAGCAAGCCCCTAAATGCCCATTTCTAGGTGGTATTTTGCATTGATACATACCAGCTTTTAAAAAATTGTTAACTAAGACTATTCTAAACACCTGCATTTAATACTAATTATAGATGTACATTTCTTGGTACGGCAGTGCTCCTTCAGTCTTTTATTGATAATGATGTTTATTGCTGAACTAGCAGCAAGAGACTCGTTTCTCTTAAAGCAACCTGTCTGACATTTTTGAGCTGGTAAGTCACAGACACTGACCATCCAAAGTACAGGCCTTTCAGAAAAAGCCGCAGGACCCACTCTGGTACTTCCTGGATGAACATTGGCCATGGTTTTAGGTACGTCTTATTTCAAAACATAGGTGAGTTTTCTTTTACAAGGCCTTCTCAATGAGCATATTTACCCTGAACTTCAGTTATTTTACTAGTACATGATACGCTTCCTTACTTTTTATCAATTTATGATATAGAACAAATATTTTGCAATCCTAGGAAAGCAAGGATTTACTGATATCAGAGGATCAGGTATCTTACTTAAAGGCTTGATCATATAGAAATAATATGCAGTGTAGAACATTTTAAAGAAAATGCTTAAAGTACCTAGAACTTAGAATTCTTTCATGATATATTTACAGAAGTGTTTTTCAAAAGACTAGTAATAATCCATAGTTTATACTATTATTTTGCATTATTTGTACATTGTTTCATAGGCTATGATAATATTTTCCACAATGACAGACCTATCTTTGCTTCCCTTGAAAACTGTCTAAATTTTATTTCATTAGTTGAGGTTCCATGCAAGGCAGGCGATCAAGATAAATCTCCCAATTTATACAGTGGCTTAGAAGACTTTTGCTACAGTAGTAGGGGGGAAAACTTGTCAGGCAGGCTAAAATCTAGATAATTCTACATATTCTGTGAAATCCACGCCACTATTGCCCTTGCTTGAAATATCTTGGAATGTTGCTAATTGCCAATAATCCTGTGTTCAGGCCCAATGTTGCATTAACCAGTAGCATCTCTTTCATTAAAATGCTAATCAGCTTATCTGCAAGATAGGGTTGGATAAATACATCATATACTTAACAGTGCTGAACCATATACTGAACAAGGTTAAGATGGTAAGTTTTTTGTTATGTGTATTTTACCACAATTAAAAATAAATGATGATTCAGTAGGAATAAAAGATAGAGTTGGAGTTGTGTGTGTAAATTTAAGGGGATATCTCTGCTCTAAAGGAGTTGAGAAGGGAGGTGAAGGCATTTGCTTCTAGGGCACATGACTTTTCTGGGAAAGGGAAGCAAGTATACCCTGGGAAATTAATACAATTCTTTTTTAAAAAAAAATGTTTTAATTATTTATCTTTAGGGAGGGGGGGAAGAGAGGGAGAGAAATATTGACGTGAGAGAGATGCACTCTGACTGGGGCCGAACACACAACCCAGGCACACGCCCTGGCTAGGAACCAAACCTGCAACGCTTCATGTCATGGGGCTATGCCCAACCAGCCGAGCCACACGGGCCAGGGCTGAACACAATCCTTAAAAAGATAAATGTCGGGGGGGGGGGGGGAGTTTGTTAACTTAATTGATGTTTCAAATCATAGTTATATTTTAAAGGGTAAACATACAATATATGTATTATTCTTCTCACACAGGTTTCCCTCTTAGGCCTCCTGCAAACTCGTAATGCTAAATTCTATTGCACTGAGTTTCCAAATTGGAGTGAGAAGCAATTTACAGAGCAGCCAACTTACCCTTATATCTTAGAGGTACAAAGAATGTACAGCTGACCCCTGAGGAACATGGTTTGAAATGTGTGGGCCCACTTATACATTAATTTTTTTCAATAAATACATAGAGTACTGTAAATGTTTTCTCTTCCTTATGATTTTTTCTCTAGCTTATTTTATAGTAAGAATACAGCATATAATATACAAAATATGTATTAATCAACTATTTATGTTATCAGGGCTTCTATTCAACAATAGACTATTGGCAGCTAAGTTTTGGGGGAGTCAAAAGTTATACACAGATTTTTTTGACTGCACAGGATGTTGGTGCCCCAACCCCTGCATTGTTGAAAGGTTAACTGTTCAGGATGAGGCAAAAGTAGGTTTACAGTTCTTTGTATGGAAAATAAGACAATAATAAATAAATAATAATACAAGAATGAACTCTATGTTTCATGTACTCACAACTGTAAACCTACTTTTGCCCCACCTGTATTTACAGGGTGTTTCTCAGTCTGCACTCCTGGTTTACCTACACCTCGTGCTCTGGTGTAATTATTAACAGCATCCTCTTTCACTCTTAACCATGTCCTGCTTTGCATGATAAATTCATGGTCACCTTCCCTGCAGAGGTTATGGAAACTTCCTTGGGGGTGTGGTTTCATGCATGCCTTAGTCATATGTCCCCCCAAAAGGATAATATCGATTCCCTGGCTACAGATACACCCTAGAAGGAAATTTTTATGTGTTTATGCCTCCAAAACTGTTTTACCTGTGCCTTCCTAGACCTGAAGGGGGAAAATGGGCTTGAGATCTGTCAAAGGGCTTGAGAAAGAATTTTGTATTTAAATTGCTGCTCATCTCTATTGAATAATACTAGATTAATAAAAACAATTTTTTATAATATTAATAGTCATTGAATGACTTTCTCTTACTATTAATTGTTCTCAGTATGGAAGATGTCTGCAAAAATTAGTGAGACATCCTTTAACAAATAGATCAGACAGTGACTACAGAACCCATGAGGAATTTACTAGAGAAGCAGAAATGGAAAGAACCACCGGCTCCTCCTCAGCCCACCTCATTCTGTGACACCAAGGGATGATCTGCTGACATCACCAACAGGGCAAGCTGCCAGCCTCTTTCTCCTTTCCCAGGGCTACATGGTTTAGAGTAATGTTGGCTATTCTAAAACCAGGCATCTACCTCAAAAAACTTTAGGACACCGTCTTTCTGGGAGACACATTCTTTGGCATAATATTAACAAAAATACATTATCGTAATCACTTTAGGTATTTTTCTGTGTCACTAGCAGTTCTCAACATTGTTTACTTGATACCTATTCTACTTAATGTTTTACTTTTTTTTAATTCAACTTTGTTGGTTAAGGTTTTCCATGTAAGATTTTCTTGCTCAAAATGGACATAGTTCATTTAAATAAATATGCTCTAACTGTATCATATAATTAGTACATATAAACAGTACCAGCTATGTTACAGATAAATAGTAATGCACTCTGGTATATATGGACTGAGTGTTTGTGCACCACTCTCCCCCCATCCAAAATTCGTATATTGAAATCCTAACCCCTAAGGTGATGCTAGTATTAGGAGTTAGAGCCTTTGAGAGGTGATTAGGTCATGAGGGTGGAACCCTTATAATGGGGTTAGTGCCCTTATAAAGGAGACCCCAGAAAGCTTTCTCTCTCCTTGCATCATGTGAGGACACAGCAAGAAGACAGCTGTCTATGAATCAGTAAGGAGTCACTTAGCAGACACTGTCTCTGTGGGCACCTTGATCTCAGACTTCCCAGCTAGAACGATGAGAAATAAATTGTGTTTACTTATAAACCACCAGTCTTTGGTATATTGTTATGGCATCCAGAAGTGACTGAGATGTCTTCTGTATACATACATTTTTATTCCTGTTTTTTCAATTCAGCCAGTCTTCAGGAATGTAGTAATTTGGTTTGGGTTCCTGGTGCTCATATCAGCTCTGCCACCATTCATTCTCAAACTGCCAGTAGTTCTGTTGCTTTGACCTTATCACTAGAAAAAAAGAATCAAGTAATAAGAACTGTCACTAGATAGTTCTTCCCTCCAAAGAAAACTTTTAATCAGTTTTTACAAATCAACATTTTTCATATTAATATGCATTCATAAGTATTTTTATCTTGCTATTTTAAGTTATAACTGTAATCTGGAAAAATATATAAAGCCCCTGGCATAGCAATGAGGTTTGGAGAGACTTGAGACTCCATTGTATGTCTTTGAATAAATATAATACTGAAATTAATAGTAGGTAAGGAATGAAATTTTCTTTCCTGAGGATTTCTGCATTGACCATTGAGTGATCCGAATACCATTGTCCTACTAGAGCAAGAAATCTAATTGCAAGAGTCCAAACCCTGGCATTCAGAAAACAGACATTTTTTTTTCCTTGAACTGACAGAAATTGAAACTGCATGTAAGTCCGGCAACCAAAGAGTTAAAGAAGAAACAGTCCTGCACACTAGTAGGAGGGGCGGAGACTGGAAGCTGGGGAGGAGAGGGCGCGAAGCAAGTTGGTGCAGCAAATCGGTAGCTGGCGGACCAGGCAGGTGAGGCAGCGGCCGGTGGCTGGGATTTCCCACATTTGTGAGCAGATAAGCCAGGAGGAACAACTGGGGAGCAAGACAGATCGGACAACCCAGGGTAACAGCCGGTGGAAAGAAGGCCTCAGAATCTCTGGCTGTAAAAACCTGTGAGGGTTGGGGGGGTGCGGCGGGGCGGGGGGAGAAACTCCCAGCCTCTCAGGAGAGTCTGTTGGGGGGCGGGGGGCATGGGGTCCTAGAACACACACAACCCCACCCACCTGGGAATCAGCACCTGAAAGGGCACAATCCACTTGTGGGAAGCAAGGGAAGTGACTGAAAGCAGGGTGAGAGCTGAGCAAGCCGCTTTGTTCCCTCTCGGACCCCTCCCGGACACACAGCGTCAAAACACAACTACAGCGTTGCCCCGCCCTGGCGCATACCTAAGGCTCCACCCCTTCCAATGAAACAGGTGTGCGGAGTTGAAGAAATACCGCCGAAATGAAAGAATAGCTCAAAACTCCCCAAAAAAGAACTGTGATGAGGAGATAGACAACCTATCAGGTGCAGAGTCCAAAACACTGGTAATCAGGATGCTCACAGGAATGACTGAGTTAGGTGGAACATGAAGGGAGAAATGAGGGCTATAGAAAGTGAAATAAAGGAAAATACACAGGGAACCAACAGTGAAGGGAAGGAAACCAGGACTCAAATCAATTTAGAAGAAAGAAAGAAAGAAACATCCAGTTGGAACAGAATGCAGAAATAAGAATTCAAAAAAATGAGGAGAGGCTGAGGAACCTCTGGGACAACTTTAAACATTCCAGCATCTGAATCATAGGGATGCCAGATGGAGAAGACGAAGAGTGAGAAATTGAAAACGTATTTGAACAAACAATGAAGGAAAACTTCCCCAATCTGGCAAATGAACTAGACATGCAAGTCCAGGAAGCTCAGAGAGTCCCAAAGAAGTTGGATCCAAGAAGAAACACACCAAGACACATATTAAGTTACCCAAGATTAAAAATAAGGAGAGAATCTTAAAAGCAGCAAGAGAAAAGGAGACAGTTACCTACAAAGGAGTTCCCATAAGACTATCAGCTGATTTCTCAAAAGAAACCTCACAGGCAAGAAGGGGCTGGAAGGAAGTATTCAAAGTCATGAAAGGCAAGGACCTATATTCAAGATTACCAAAGCTATCATTTAGAATGGAAGGGCAGATAAAGTGCTTCCCGGACAAGGTCAGGTTAAAGGAATTCCTCATCACCACGCCCTTATTATATGAAATGTAAAAGGGGCTTATCTAGGAAAAAGAAGATCAAAAACTATGAAGAGTAAAATGACAACAAACTCACAACCATCAACAACCGAACCTAAAAAAATAAATAAATAAATAAATAAAAACTAAGCAAACAGCTAGGACAGGTACAGAATCACAGAAACAGAAATCACATGGAGAGTTATCAGTGGAGAGTGGGAGGGGGAGAACGGGGGGAAAGGTACAGGGAATAAGAAGCATAAATCGTAGGCACAAAATAGACAGGGGGAGGTTGAGAATAGTATAGGAAATGGAGAAGCCAAAGAACTTGTATGTAGGACCCACGGACATGAATAAGGAGGGGGGGGATGCAGGGCAGAGGGGGATAAAAGGGAAAAAAAATGGGACAACTGTAATAGCATAATCAATAAAATATACTTTAAAAAGACTTTCTTTAGTAATAGCATCATCTACTACACCATTTATATGAGTAAAATATTTTCTTTTTTAGATAATCAGCTATTTTCTACTGACAGTATACATTAAAAGTTTAGGCATTTTCCCATAGAAGAGACATAAACTGAAATATGCATACTTGAGAATAAGTAGATGTATTTCCAGCACCAAGGAAAAATAGGAAATATATGTTATAAGATAATCTTGTTTCATTTCTTGGACTATTGTAGCAGAATGTATCTTTGCCTTAAATTTTTACATACTTTACTTTTATTGTTATCTATCAATTCAAATTATGGTAACTATAGTTTGGAAATAGAATTGACTTTTTAAATTAGGATTACCTTCCTAGAAGACATTCTTTCTTATTGTTACTACCTGAATGTTTGGTACAATTTATAAGAAATGTTGCAGCTACCCAATCACTGACACTTTCAGAATAACAGTGATTCTCAGCTTAAGTCCTGGTCACAGGAAATAGCAAAATTGGTCATTTGCACAGCCTACATTCTGTGCCACTCAGGGCATTCTCTAGTTTGGGAATGTAACTTCGAAGTCTATACCTTCAAGGAGTTGAAGATTTAGTGCAAGAAGCAGACTTTTGAAAGCAACAAAGTGCAATATAGTGGGATAAGTGTTACGAAAGGTGAAATATCTATGCTGGGAGCTCAGGCAGGGCAAATACCTAACCCACTCTTGAGGGGATCAGGAAGTTTTCACAACACTAACTATATAGCAACAATGTGTCAGGGACAGTAGCTATTGCCAGGCACTATGCCAACATGCCGCACACCTTTGCAACAGTATTGCTATCTTGATTTTTACAGATGAGAAAACTGCGGACTAGACATTAAGGAATTTACTCACGACGAGGGAGCCAAGACTTGAGCTTCCTAGTCCATCCGAGTCCAAAGACTACGTTTCTAGTTACTCGTGCACTGAGCCAAACAAGATAAATTTGCAGGTGTGTTACTCCAAGTGGCTCTGTAAGAGGGTGTAAGGCCAGGCTTTAGACAGAGTTTGGGCTTCTGTTGAATGATCCCAAGGAGGAACTAGAAGAAGCAGGGACAGTTTAGTAACTGGGTAGCTCAGTAATTTTCATTTGGAGTAGAGAGTACCAAAGCTAGACCAAGGAGTTAAGTTCATCTGTACAACCAGCAGGTGTGAATGGAAGTGGGTGAGTCTGGTGCTTTTTCTGAGGCGCTGATAGGTGGACTCGTGGAAGGAGGAGGAGCCTGGGGAAGTCGGTCCCGGAAGCAAGGCGAGCTGCCATAGGTGGAGTGAGGCCTCGTGAGTGGGTGAGGAGAAAAGAGGGAGGAGTGTCACTTTAACCTCCTAGCTACCAGAGGTTCCACTGTGGTGTAGGGAGCGGCAGGGATAAGGTCCTGGGGAAGGGCTAGGAGGGAAAAAATACTTCCACGGCAGGGTAGAAGTTCTCGAGAAGGAGGCATTTATTTGTGCAGGGTTTCGGAAGACGAGCCACCCACGGAAACCTCTCGCTTTTCCTCTTGGGTCCTCTCAGGGAGAGGTACTCTCCCTTCGTCCCTCCGAGAGACCGCGCGGCACCTGCGCCTGCGCACAGCTGCACACTCGCTCCCTTTTTAGCCCGCCTTTTCCGGCCGGCTCTTGTGGGCGTGGTGGCGCTGGAAGATGGCGGCGCCCGAGGCAGTGATACTTCCGGAGAAGCTGAGGTAAATTGGACTGAGGGAGATGACTGGCCAGAAGAGGGGAGTGAGCAGGCCAATCCTGGATATGGAGGATGTGAAGGCAGGAAGGAAAAGGGGGCTAGGTCGACCAAGCGAGCCACCGCAGCACCTCGAGCCCCTCCGGGGACGCGGTGCGAACTCTCCGGGTTTCAATGGGCTCAGGCAGTTGAGGAGGGGAACAGGTGCCGGATGGAGAAGACCTGCCGTTTGGGCATGGAAGGGAGAGGGGTGGTGAATGAGTGTTTTGTAATCACAACACGGAAGCAAGATTTCACTCCCGAGCACCCGAGCGCTCTCCTGTCACTGGGCTCTGATGAGAGGGGAGCTCAGGCGGGCAGCGCTGCAGGTGCGGCCACTTACGCTGGAGTGTGCTTGTCTCCTTTTTCCAGCCACAAAAAATACAGGGCCGCCCTGAAGAAGGAGAAACGAAAGAAACGACGTCAGGAACTCGCCCGATTGAGAGACTCAGGTAACGGACTCCTTAACCTCTTTTCTGTGTATGAAATTACTCTCCCCACTCCCATCCTAACTTGCCACAGTGTCAAAAAGTATCCCAAGTATTGTATCAGATAAGAATTGCTGTGGCTACTGCCTCCCGAGTTATGCTAGACACATGTTGGGAACAATGTTACTATACTAAAGCGGGGGAAAAGGGCATCGTGAATCATCACCCACTGATTATATGTAAGTATTTATGAAGTATCTAATATTACAGGTGCAGGCATCATGAATTACAGCAGCTAGTACAGCCCTTGCACATAGTAAGTATTCGGTGAACACTTTTCTTTGCAAAACGAGGAGTTGAGAATTTTAGGCATTTTGCAAGTTTCTCTCAAACGAGTAATATGAGACTCTTTGTAGACTCAAGTTATTAATACACTACTGAAATATATAAGAATAAAACTAGTTATGAAACTCTTTCTAAAACAACGTATTTACAGATTACAAAACCAAGTAAAATTACATATCCAGTAAAAAGCAAATCTACATTAACTTGGTGTTACTAATGATGGGAGACAGATGCTCACAAGATGAATGCGGTACCGACTGGAGTTTGAAATGCTACTACTATTACCATTGCCCTGTGGTTATTTATGAATTTTTAAATTTTCTTAAAAATTTTTTTATTTATTTTTAGAGAGGGGAAGCGAGGGAGAGAGGGAGAGAAACATCGATGTGTGGGTGACTCTCGAGCGCCCCCTACCGGGGACCTGGCCCACAACCCAGGCGTGTGCCCTGACTGGGAATAGAACCACCGACCTTCTCATTCATAGTCTGGCATTCAATCCACTGAGCCACACCAGCCAGGGCAAATTTTCTGTTAAAATACTTCGGAACATTCATCTGTACTGGCCATGTGGTTACTTGTTCTTCATGTGGCACAATCTAATATTTATATATTAAGCCTGCCTGTTTAAGATAATGAAATTAGTACTACTAACTTAGCTGTAAAATTATATAATAGTTATAAATGTGCATGGAAGCACTGAAACCACCCTGGAGTACTGGACTGTAAGTGATTGCCATCCAGTTTATCCAGAATATGCGCTTATTCAGTTATCCTGACAATTCTTGAAGTCCACACATCATGGCCTCAAGTAACCAGGATTCTCAGGCCTTGAGAAACAGCCAGAAAGGTTTTATTTACCATTGGAGTTGCCTAGTAATTATTTTAGTTGCAATGCTTGCAATATTTAGAATGGAAAGAGCAATGTGTTTAACTGCAGGCTTTATTAGCATCTCCTTTTTTTTTTTTTTTTTCCCATTCAGTACTGGTCCACTAAAGGCAGGATAAAACATTAGGGATAAAAGGAAAAACAGGGTAGGTTGGAGTTACTCTCTTAGTGATACCTTTACCCCCCTTAAAGTTCCCAGCTACCTTTGTTCATTAACCTGTTTTCATCTAAAAATTTTTTTTAAACCTCTTACGTTTTTCCTTCCCATTTTAAATCCTATAACTGTTTTGCATTGATTTTTTTTCCCCTTTGACTTTGCAAACTGTCTTCAGACTGAGCCTTTGTGGAGAGGCTATGTATCCAGTCCTTTGGCAGTTTAGTCAGTTGAAGGTTGCAAGTCACAGGTTTGTTCAGGATTATATGACTAATGGCAGACCTAAGATTTACTGCTCCTGCTTTTGTCCACTGCAACTTCAGAATTCTTTTTTTTTTTTTAAGATTTTATTTATTTATTTTTAGAGAGGGGAAGGAAGAGAGAAACAGAGGGAGAGAAACATCCATGTGTGGTTGCTTCCCATGGGCCCCCTACTGGGGACCTGGCCTACAACCCAGGCATGTGCCCTGCCTGGGAATCAAACCAGCAACCCTTTGGTTTGCAGGCTGGCACTCAATCCACTGAGCCACACCAGCCAGGACAATTCTTTACTCAGTTGTTCTTCATGAATACTGTAGCCTACCAAACACTGCTGTTCAGTGTAGCACATGCTGGGTGAGTAAACATTACCCCAAAGGCTAGAATATAGAGATATTCTAAAGAACTGCTATGAGAGTGAATTGACCAATAATTGGTAGAAATTTCTGGAATGTCAGCCTCTCAATTACAGGTAACCTTTTTAGCTCCCAGTTCTACTTAAAATAACCTGAGATGAGCTGCCTTGTCAGCAAGTTGTAAAACTGGCAGGATTCTATATCTCCTTACATGTGTTATCAACTACCAATATTGTTCTTTTTGATGCTCATATTGTACCAAATTTGGGCAGTGGGAGCCTTATTAGAAAGTTTTAAAAACAGGATCATGCCTCAAGTGTACCTATATATTTTCCTGAATTATTGACTAAGGTTTTGTAATACTCAGATAGTTTAATAAAACATTTAAATTTCCTCAGGACTCTCACAGAAGAAGGATGAGGAAGACGAGGAAGCTATTATTGAACAACAACAAAAAGAAGAGAAACTGTTGGAGATACAGAGGTTAGCACTGACTGAAACACTTCTCGTGCAGCCAGTTGTTTGATCTGAGTATTATGTCTCTACTAACAATATGGGTCTTCTTTGTAACACCTTGTCCAAAATAGCTCTTATAAAATACCCTGGATAAACTATTTCAGTCTCTAGCTGACAGGCTAAAACTAGATGTTGCCTTTATGTTTTTATGGAAATATTTTTCACTGATTTTGCTAATTCTTAAATGTTTGTGAAAACAATCCAAATAATTAAGAAGTGTAAAAAGTGAAAGGGCTTAATCAATTCAACACACTCAAAGATAGTCACTGTTAGGAATGTAAGAAAGAAAGTATAGATGTACTGTACTCATATTCCTATAATAGGATGATATTTGTACATATTTTTCTATAAATTGCTTGCTAAATATATAGGCCATTCATTTCACTGTTGATGGAGAGATTTAATTTAACCATTTCAATGGCAACATAGTATCCATTGTATAGATATAGCATAATTTATTCTTTATTCATAATTTATAATTTACTAATGGACATTTAGGTTATTCACTATTAAATAACGCTATGTTGCTAATTAATTTACATTCAGGTTTTTTACTACTGCATAAAAAGTTGCAGTGACCATCCATGACTATATATGTCCTTGGTAATTCTCCTATTATTTGCTTAGGAAAATGTCGGGAAATGAAATGGTTGGGATCAAAAGATAAATACACATACAGTGTAGATGGGCAGGTAGGAAGGGCAACCCAGTTTGCAGTCTGCAGCCCTCCACCTGAATCAAGGTGCCCATCTCCCTATACCTTCACTCACACTAGGTGTTATCAATTTTATGAACTACTATATTCAAAAGTTTCAAATGTACATTTATTGATTAGAGTTTAATATCTCTTTTTATATTGTATTACCTATTTGTAGATTGCTTAAGTCTTGCATCATTCTCTTTTGGGATTTTTTAAGTTTGTTGTAGCAGTCTTATTACTTGATTAAGGATATTCTTTATCTGTCACATGTGTGATGTATATTTTTTCTCATTTGTCCTAACTTGGCTTACAGCATTAATTACCATAATTTTATTTTCATGTTGTCAACTTTCATCATGGTATCTGGCTTTGGTGTATGACTTATGAGGCCTCCCCCACCCCAAGATAACAGAATATTCTGTTTTTTCCTCATTATTTTTATTTTTAAACTTAAACACAACAATGAAAATATGCTTAATGCTACTCGCTTATACACTTAAAAATGGTTACAATGGTAAATTTTATGGTATGCATATTTTGCCACAATAAAAGATTTTTAAAAGGAGAAAAAACTTTATAGACACTTTCTCGCTATTCAGTGTGTTCACTGGAAATGTAGCTTCTTATAATTAATTTCTCTACCTAAAAACATAAATAATTGAAATTATCAAAATGCCAAAAAGAAAAACATGTAATGGTGATTGGGAACATGGGGTGGATGCCAGTCCTGGCCCTGCCACTTACTAGCTGTGTTCAAGTTGCTTAATCTCTTGAAGCTTCAATTTTCTTGCCTTAAATATGGAGATGAGTCACTCATAGTACCTACCCCCTAGATTCAGGGCAATTAGGTGAGGTGGTAAGTGCATAGTGCTTAACATAGTGTTACCAGATAGGGGGTGCTGTGATAACTCTAGTCCTTATTATTATAGATTTCTGTTAAACAGTTGACCCTTGAACAATGTGAGGGTTGGGGGCACTGACTCTCTATGCAGTCAAAAATTCATGTATAACGTTTGACATTTGCAATATGCCAGTCTCTACCATAGCTAAAAGACATGTTCCTAGAATCTGAAGTTGGAAATGGAAATATTTTCCCTGAAGTGTATTTGAAATTGTGGTTAGGTCCCCAGGCTAAACGTTATTTAGACATAAACCTTATTTAACTCCTAATGTCGCTGAAGAGATACAGAACAATTTCTTATACTTCATTTCCATTTCCACATTCAGTGAGAAAATGCAATCTAGGTTATAAACATCTGATTAGCTAATAAACTTTTGAAATGTAGCCCATCTTTAAATTATAAATGTATAATATTAGAGGTCTAAGATACCATTTTAAGATACACTCTATAATTGGTCATTTTTTAAAAATAAACTAGATACCTGCTGATTTATTGTTATAACTCCTTGTCATCTTAAAACCTGTAGCTTTATTTTAAAGACAAGGTCATGATGTAGTTTTATTTTTCTTCTTTCAGTAGTTTCAGTGCTTGGGGCAAACCACAGGAGTCTCCTAAGTGTATAAATAGCAGTCCAAAGGGTTATGACAGAAGATGCCAGTTTTTCCCAGTACTGCAATCTTGTAATTGACACTTTTAAAACACACAAAATAGGAAGGGTAATAATTTCTGAATGTGAAAAGCTAGATGTGGCTTTGAAACTCGTTACTCAGTTGATTGGCACCTAAACATCACTATGGTCAACCTACAGGGGAAATTCTAGTGTCGTTGTTGTATGTAAAAGATGTCATAGATACGAATGTAGAAGTAGTGATTTTAAGCTATTACCCGTTAGGAACATAGTTGCTGAAATATAGTGCTTTTCTAAGATCATTACTCCTGTCTTTTGACCCTCTTACTCCCACTTAACTGCTTTCTAGACTACGTCTTTCATGATAGTTTAATCGTTCCCAGACATGTCATTTTTACTATTGTGTGTGTGTATTTGTAGATTAATGCCCATTTCTTCTATTTGAATACATTATCACATTGACAGGCAAAAGTTACACGAGGAGTGGTTGCTGCGGGAGCAGAAGGCACAAGAAGAGTTCAGAATAAAGAAGGAAAAGGAAGAGGCAGCTAGAAAACGGCAGGAAGAACAGGAGGTACAGTATTAATCAGATAACCAATTGACCAACTCATTAACCAAAACTCATTAAGAGTTATGTATCTTTAACTTTAAAAAATGGGTATCATCCATTTTACCAATGTTATTAAAATTTTTCATTTATTTACTCTGTATGTTTTAAAAAGCGAATCTGAAAAATATTACTTTTCCTTCTCTCCCCGCTCCCCTGTAAAGAGGAAGTTAAAGGAAGAATGGGAAGAACAGCAGAGACGAGAGAAAGAAGAGGAGGCGCAGAAGCTACAGGAGAAAAGAGAGAGAGAGGTGATTCCTGTCACAGGAGGATAAAGGCGCTGCATATCCTCTTAGTGAGCAGATGTGGCAAGTGATGGGGCGGAAGAATAAGCTTTAGGCATAGCAGGGTTTGGGCCCCTTTTTTTTTTTTTTCCATCTAGAAATAGTCAAGCTTTTAGTAAAGTGTACACTGGCGTTTCCTTCTGGTGCTCTTCTTTTCATCTGTGCAGTGGTGGACCTTAAATTAAGGTTTTTCTTCAGCTTTACCCACCTTACCCTTTATACCAAGGATCAGCAAGCTGCTTGTGTAAAGGGCCAGAGCGTAAACGTTTTCGGCTTTGTGGTCCGTGCAGTCTCTGTTGGAAACACCCAGCTCTGCCAGTGTGCTGTGAAAGCAGCCATAGATAATCTGTAAATGCGTGGCTGTGGCTGTGTTCCAGTAAAACTGTGTTGTTTTATTTACAAAAAAACAGGCAGCTGGCCTCTGCTTTACACTGTGTACCACTCCGGAGCAAACGGTGTTTTTCTGAGGTTCTGTTGTATATGGGTTGACTTAGAGAATAATCTTTTGTGTAGTTTCCACATTTATTTAATTTATGAGAGTTAACTCCTTATGACATATCAGCAAGAATTAGTTGATTGAAAGAAATCAGAACTCTAATGTTGAGGAATTAGGAAAGTTTTTTGTTAGTAAATCTTGGCTTCCTTTCCAACTTGGGCTATAACACAATTGTAGCTAACATATAGTTACTCATTTTTAAAAAATCAGTAAGGTTGTATGTACATATCTCCTATATCTTCGAGATTCTTTTTAAAGATTGATTTGGTATATTTTGTTGCTGTTCCTCAACAGTGTATTTATTTCAAAGATCTCACAGTTCATCTTTCCTTGACTCATTCATCAGGATGTATCTTTTCTTTATATTGCTGAGTTTGAATAGCATGGAATTGAGTAGTTAATCATTTTATCATGGGGAAAAATGTGTTTATTTACACCTTAGTCATGATGAGGTAGACGCAGCCTCTGGGATCTTTGTGTTTTTGTGTCAGGCTATCAGTTAATTCTAGTGCAAGTGTTTTAGATGCCTTTATTTTTTAGCACTGCTTTCCAGGTAAGGCAAGACGACACTAGGCTTGTGGGGGCAGGACAATTGTTTGGAGTTTGTCATTTTTTAATAGAGAATAATTAATTCCCATTTTAGCAGTAAAATGTTCTTCGATTGAAGTCTTTCAGGCATTAGATAAAAGTTAAGGCTTCTTTTCAAAAGAGCTAAGGCTTTTGTTTCAAAGGAGGTCTGATGAGACGCTAAGGAGAAGCAGATGAAATAAAGTAGATTCTAAGCATGTATAAAGGTATATGCAATCTGTGTTTCTGCTATGTGCTAGATACCTCTCTAGTGGATAGAGATAAATCATCAAAAAAGACAATCTCTGCTCTCATTGAGTTAGTTTTCTAGCGGGGAGACCCGGATGATAAGTAAAGCAAAAAAAAAAAAAACTCATTGTAAGTGCCATCAGATCATGTTAAGAGCTATAAAAAAAAGCAGAGACTTATGTGATAGAGTGACTGGGGTAGGGAAGTACTTCTTTAGATTGCCTGGTCAAGGAAGACTTGTCTGAGGAGCTATGTGTGAGCTGACCCCTGAGTGCTGAGATCTCAGGGAGAAAAGGGGGTCTGGGCCAAGGGAAGAGGCCTGAGCATGGAGCTAAAAGAAGGTCACGGTGCCTTAATCTTAGAGACCGAAGAAGAGAGTGGCATGGTAGGATGTCAGGAGGGCAGGCAAGGCCAGATTACGTAAATCCTCCTGGATTGGAAGGAGGAATGTGAATTCTATGTTAAATGTAATGGGCAGCCATTGAACGGTTTTTAAGCAGGGAGCAACTTCATCTAATTTATATGTTTACCTTTAACAGATCATTCTGACTTTTTTATGACGAAGGGGGATTGGGTGGGGAGTGGTGGACTAAGACAAGAATGGAAATAGGTGACCATTTAAAAGGCAGCTATTCCAGGTTGGACGTGGTGGTGGTTTGGATGAGGGTAGTGCTTTGTGTAGAGAAGTACGAAGATTTGGGGTATACTGAGGCAGGGATAACAACTCTAGCTGGTAAACTGAATGTACAGCGAGGGGAAAGAAAGGGAGGGGAGTCAAGTCATATACTCATAGGTTTTTAGATTGAACTGAAACGCGGCATTTAGAGGGGTGAGGCGTAGGGAAGAAGTAGAGTTTTCTCTTGAGCATTTAAGCTGCTGAGGACCTTTATATGACCAGGTAGAGTTATCAAGTAAGCAGCTAGACAGGTGAGTCTGTTATGTAATACTTTAAGGGTCTAGGGAAGAGAAGTCTGTTGACCATGATTTCAAAACTTGTTTAAATGCCAGTGAGATCAAAACTAATGGCTTATGGCAGGACTTCCTCTGCCTTGTTGAAAAGTTTGGGATTTTCCATTATCCTTATTACTACTGTTCATGTCATATTTTAGCATCTGTTAAATTTTTATGGTGTTTCAACTAACATTGTGTTTTATTTAAACATTTTATTTATTTTCTCGGGGTGGGGGAGGGAGAAAGAAAGGGAGAGAAACATTAGTATGCGAGAGAAACATTGATTGGTTGCCCCTTGCACAAACCCAACTGGGAACCTGGCCCGCAACCCAGGCATGTGCCCTGCCTGGGAATCGAACCGACAACCTTTTACTTTGTGGGACAATGCTCAATCCACTGAGCTGCACCAGTCAGGGCTAGCATTATGTTTTATAATATTCATAATACCTCATCTTAAAAACTAGAACATATATATACTCAAATATACTAAATATGATTGTTACTATTATAAGATGATATTTTCAATATTTGGCATTCTGAGCCATTAGATGTCCTATTTGAATAAAAACTCTATATCCTTTGAAATCTTTTCAGAAGATCTGTGCTGTAGAAGGAAAATTAGAAACTGAAGCTTTTTGTATGTGTGGGTTATTAAAAATTGTTACACATGAGATTCTTAACCAGAAGAACCAGATGTGACTTACCTGATTTCCAGGTTTTCATAAGTCCTATGTTTGCACCATTTGTAGGAGGCTGTGCAGAAGATGCTGGAGCGGGCTGAAAATGAGGTATTTTCACAACCTTTCATTAAGAATTTGAGATTGATGAGCATTTCTTTAAAAATAATACTTGCAGGAATGTTAATTTTGCAGTTGACTGTTCAGATCATGTCTGCAATATCTGGGATCACTTTTGTGGCTCTGTGGTTTATGCAACAACAGGAACCACAAAAGTTATTGATGAACAAAAGCAAATGGTATTGAATTACCCCTGTGGGCTGTACTTGTTTATAGTCCTTAACGTACAGATCAGCAACAGCACACACTCTTAGCCCACGAGGGAGCGTTTAACCTGCTTCAGAATAACCTTGATTTCTCTCAGTCTATCAAGTGTTTTGACCCTTTTCAGAGTGGATGGACAAAGGGAAACCTTGGTGACTGCTCCTGGTTACCATAGTGATGCCTGATAATGTGCAGTGACTGGGAGCCAAGACAGACACACAGCACGTGTCTCAGCACAATTGTTTGTAAAGTCTCAATCGCATGTCACAACTTAAGTGTATATATTGTTAAAAGAATATTTTTAAGTCTTCATTATGGACCAAAATATTTGAATACATTTTAAACATTTTATGCTTTATGGATTTTTACACCATCAGTAAACTCATGGCTATTTTCAACAGCTGGAAAGTACTGCCACATGGCAAAACCCAGAACCACCCACGGACTTAAGAATAATGGAGAAAGATCGAGCTAATTGTCCATTCTACAGTAAAACGGGAGCTTGCAGATTCGGAGATAGGTAACTAATTTGTTTTATCATGGCAAAATTAAGTGCCTCAAAATGTTGAGGCTTCTGAGTTTTGTGTTTGGGGGTGACTCGGGCTTGAGCTTGAGGTGTTCACAGTCAGGCGCCTGCTGTGTTCTTGCTGCTTCTCCACATCCCCTGCCTTCTGTCCTCTGCTCCCCCCATACTGCTCACCCACAGCCTGTTTCGGGGAGAGGGAGAGTTTCCTTTGCATGCTCTCCACAGCTTTATGAAGACCTTTTGCTTTTTCTTTTCTTCCCATGCTTGCGTTAGTCCACGTGGGACAACTTGGATGGGGGAAATCATCTATTTCAAGGGACTGGAGCAGCCTGGCTTTATTTTTTTGAATGGCAAACACTGCACAAAAGAGGCTTTTAAAAATTAGCATGCCTAAAGGGATAGCTGTGAAAGACAGGATCCGAATGTGGAGGAAAAGTGTTCTGATTTATTCTCAGTCAGCTCTGACTTGAACAGACGCCGGGTTCAAAAACTGCCTTTACTGACTGTCACTTTGGAAAAGTTGCTTAAGCTCTCTGTGCCTTAGTTCCCTCATCTTCAAAATGGGGGTTAAAAACAGTACCCCCTCATAAGGGGGTTGTGTGGGTGAAAGGAGAGAATGCAGGGAAAGCAGGTAGAACAGTGCCTGGCAAATGGCAAGTACTCAGAGTGGTTTTTGTTTTTGTTGCCCTTATTCTCCGAGACACTCTTGTCGCCAGCTTCTTTTGCATCAGTGTTTCTGAAACAAGGCATTCATGTGAAAAACTAAGTGTTGAGGTCTTCACTCATTTAGCAAATACTTATTTATACCAACTATATGCCAGGCAATGGTGATTTTTATAATTTGGCCTGTTTGAGAATAAATAAAACTCAAATTAGGCAAATAATTCATAATGGTCAGTGAATCCATCCGAGGCAAAATGTAGTTATTACTATGCATTCTGTAGAAGGAAAGAGCTAATCATATCTTAGTGTCCTATTAATTCCAAAGAGGGATATGAATAGGCAATTTAATATGTATTCAGTGAGAAACTGTATGTTGTCTCTCGTGTTTATCTTACTCATAGAATTATCCATGCTGTAAGTTCATTTCGTTCTTTGAAAATATGAACCTTCTCTATTTCTTCTGTTTCTTTTTAAATTTAAACCTTAATACCATTTTACAGTTTTTAAGAACAGCGTTCCTCAACCCTAGATATGCATTAGAATCACCTACAAAGCTTTAAAAAAATTATGCCCTACCTGAAATTGAGTAAATCAGAGTCTCTAAGACTTGGGCAGCCTTAGGTGAAATGTCCTCAGGTATGTCTAATGTGTCCCAGGATTGAGAGTCCCTAGTGTTGGGTGTGTAACTCCTTTTGTATTTTACAGTAGGATTATATACCCCAAGATGTTCTGTGAAAGGATTGATAGGATCTGGTCAATAGTGAAAGCTTCCTCTTGAGGAACTGGAAACTAATGAAACTTTATTTCCCTTTGTACTTTTACAAGTGTTTTCCAAATATATAGTCAATTTCATTGAGAAATAGTAATGATTGATGTAAAACACCTCCCCACCAAAATAAAAAATGTGCAGTGAATTACCTTTGAAAGACAGTAGAGACTCAATCTGAGTTCACATTTGTGTAGGTAGTTGAATCAGATTGCATTTGCAGGATTCCTCATTGATGATATATCTCTAACATTTCCTTGAATTTTAAGACTTTTGGTCATCTGATTATGGATTCTCCTTCTGTTGGGCATAAGACTGAAGGAGAGATGCCTAAATGGTTTCAGGAAATCAGTTGACTGCTTATTTGTGGAAAGGGGAGCCTGTCGGGCTCCCGAAACTCACCCCTGGGAGTTGTTTCAAGGAAATACCGATAGTGGTCAGATTAATTTGTGAACATTTCTTAATATTTTGCTAGGCATAGGAACTTTCACCATTACAACTATCCAAAAAAAAAAAAAGAGCGCTTTGGATATTTTCATTGTTTAAGCGATGTGTTGTAAAATCAAATTCAATGAAAGTGGCAGTTACAAATTCCAGCACCATCCCTTCAGACAAAAACTCTGTGCCCCTTTTACAGGGAGCCATAGGGACTTGCTCTGGATCACATAACTGTTCGTTTCTGTTGAGGTCTGTCATGTCATCAGACAAACACTTCCATAGCTTAAGCATTTCTTTGGTTGCTTTGTTTTTGTAATTAATAGAATTCAATTCTAGAACGTTCCCGGAGTTGATATTTTTTGGAGTCACAATTTTGAGGAGAGTTATTTTTTTCTCTCCTAAAAGAACATAATTATTGATGAAAGGTAAAACTTATTTATTGGAGTAGTTATTTATACCTCACCTATTTCCAGAAGCAATTTAAAGAAAGCTCACAGTCTCCTGCACTAAGTTTAATAAACTAAAACAAATTGAAATCAAGGAAAGGAGAAAGTGGGTTGTGAATGTGCAGTACATTTCGCCCTGGATTTGAATACATCCCAGGCAGGTGGCAAACTACATAGTTCTTACCAAAAAGGAAGAATGAGCAGTATCTCTGGAAAGACAGAGATTTTCCTGGTATCACATTCTAAATGTTTCTCCCCTGAAATACTATATAAAGACACTGAGTAGGGAGGTGGACAATAACTTTGATAGATGTTTTGTTAACTTGCATGTGTAATTTTCACGAGAATTTCTTACAGAGACCTTCAATAAGTGATTGACCCTAACTGCATTATATTTATGAGTTCAAAGGTGAGGGGTACCCGGAGTGTTCCCTTGAAAAGACAAAAAGAGGTGCAGTCAGTTAGCTTTACCTGAGGGGGCATTTGGAGACCCACACCATTTATTGGCTGTCCTTGGGGTAAGATAATGTTTAAGTAGGTGATTTTGTGGCAGTCTTACTTGATTCAAGTATCTGGGCAATAATAGGTAAGTAATGTGTCCTAAACAAGGGTTCTCGAACATGGCTGACCTTCAGGACTAGGTAGGCAGTTACTTTGAAAATTCAGGTCCCCTACTCTTTGAGGTCTGAACAGATAGTTTGGGGCAGGAACTGAGAAATCTCAGTTTTCCCGACATGATTCTAGAATCACACAGGCTTGTACCACAGCATTAGACTGCCCTCCTGATTTTTCTTGTTTTAGCTGACTTTGCAGTAGGAGCTATAGGGCTGGCCTTGAATATACTCACATTGTATGACCTGTCTCCAGGCCAAGGGGATTTTGCCTTAGACAGGGACTTTGGCTCTGTTTCAGAACTTAGAAATGCTCTTTTGACACCCTGGGAACTAGAGTCAAGTTCTTTATGATGTAATAAGCCCATGAGCAGAATGTTAACTTTGTTAAATTGGTTTCTTGTTTAATTCTGCATGTGCTTCATATTTGTAAAATTCTGATTCACTGCGAACACTTGTCAGCCAGGTTGAATCGTTGCTGTGCACTGTCGGCAGCTGTACTTGGGAAGGTGGATCTCATCACAAGGTCCCTAACTGAATAATGTAGGAGATCCTTTGGAAAAAAGAAAATTTCATAGTAGTGAACACTGATTGCACAATTCTGAGCTGGGCACAGTGTGTGCAGGCCATTGTGCAGTTAGCTCACTAGGTGTGCAGATATATATTACAGACATGCAAAGTGAGTATGAGTTAACCATTTAGTCATTTCAGGGCCACTATTTTTTCCCAACACATGCCTAATTCAACTTTTTTTTTTCTTAATAAGTTGTGGAGATTTTTTTTCCTAAAATTTTTTTCTGTATCAATTTTTAAACTAGAAACCAAATCAGGAAAATTTTGATGATTTGGAATCTTGAACTACATTTTCCCCCTCATTTTATTTTAGGAGAAGGAGTAAATAAGAAAATAAACTCATATAAAAGATTTTTTAAAAAAATACCTCAAGTATGGCCTGGTCCATTTTACACTACGAAAAGAAAATTGTTCATAATGGTTAGCCTCCTTCAATTAAATACAAATTAATTATATTTACCACACCATATAATGAACAGGCCATAGTAGTAGACTGTAGGTTAACTCATTCTCTTGCATCCTCTCTTACCTACCAGCCAGGTGACTTGGGTAAGTGTGCTTCTCTAAGCCTCAGCTTTCTTCTTTGCAAAGTGGGGAGAAATACTACCATCAAACTGTCCTGGCAGGTTTCAAGGATCAGAGGGGGAAAAAAAGTAAAAATGCCATGACAACTATGAAATGCTATACATGTATGGGATTGAAATACTCCATTAGCTGGGAACTTAGATTACCCTATTGTCTAAGCATCGGGTTAGTGGACGATTGTGTAGAAGCACAGTGTATTGTTTTCACCTTCCTCCTAGGTCCCACATAGGGTATCTGAATGGCAAATGAACTTGGAAATAATTTCCAGCTTCACATTCTAATGAAAGTGATTATATTGATCAGTCTGAGAACAGTTTCCTTAAGTGTTGAAATTTGATGTCTGAATGGGTTTTATTGTCTTACAGTTAAGTCAAAACTGCCAAGTTACTCAATTTAAAGCATGCTCTTTATGTGTAATTTGTAACGATTGGGCTACTGAAGGGGAGCTTTTCCTTGATGTGCAGGTGTTCACGTAAACACAATTTCCCAACGTCGAGCCCCACCCTCCTCATTAGAAGCATGTTTACAACGTTCGGGATGGAGCAGTGCAGGAGGGACGACTATGACCCCGACGCCAGCCTGGAGTACAGCGAAGAAGAGACCTACCAGCAGTTCCTGGACTTCTACGAGGACGTGCTCCCGGAGTTCAAGAACGTGGGGAAGGTGATCCAGTTCAAGGTGGGCGTGCACAGGGTGCCTGAAGGGGATGGGCTTACTTCCTGCGGAAGTACCTGATGGGACCAGAGAGCAAGGGCTCTCCATCTGGGTGGGGGCATGTGCGAGAGCACAGCGCGTGGCCCAGTGTCTGCCACCCAGCCACTGCGGTGAATGTAACTTCCTTCCCTCAGTAGAAGTACTATGTAAACTCATGTAGTAGCATGAATGTTCCTGGGTGCCAGGGACTAGATGGGAAAGGCTCTTTGATCTCTTCAGTACCTTTGTGGTCTAACTCTTCCAGCTGGTGAATTCTCTGCAGGAGATCCCCACAGACAGCTGTGCCAGCATTTAGTCAGTTAGAGGCCACCTGTGTTGGAGAACGCCCTCCTTTCCTCCCTCCCTCTGTCTGTAGAGGGTCTCACCTAGAGCTGCAGTGTACACAGTGTTAGCACCACTCCACTTACTGAGTTTGTTGTTACATTGTTGCATTATAATGAAGGTGCCACCCCAGGTGCATGTTCTTTCTTCTGGAGCTATCCTAGAACACAGGATCTTGGGTCCCTTTTTTTACAGTTTTTATTCATTGGATAATTTCAATACTGAACATAGTATTCCCAAAGTCAATGTTCGGTGCAGCATACAGGAGGAAAAAGAGGCATTCAGGTTGCACAGAATTATTCTAACACATTCCTTAAGGCAAGAGGAAAGTCAGATGCATAGCCACTGCTCCTGGGACCCAGAAGTTGACTCCTACACAGTGAAGCCTCCTGCTTTGTGATTTGATCAGATCCAATCTTGAATGATTATTTTATGTTAGGGCAGGGAAAATGCCCCATAATTTGAAAAAAGGAATGGAGCTTTTTTTTTTTTTTCTTCCTGCTCTTTGGAAGTGACAGTTGGAATAGCCAAGAACAGAGCAACTGCTAATCAGCAACACGCATGAAATTCAAGGTTGTGCTGCTTTCTGTCAATCTCAAGGTTTTTAAAATTCTTTAAAAAATTTCTTCCCCCTTTGCCTTTTATTTCTGGTACATATACATTCTGGAACATGTCACCTTACCTCTCTGTGCCTTTTCCTCATCCCCAAAGTGAGGGGATTAGACAATACCAGCCGTTTCCCTTGCAAGGCCCCGACATTATACTGCTCCATCAACTTCTTGGTGGAGCCACCTTCAAAACTTGAGACCAGTTAGTGGAAATCACATCATTGCCACCTACTAACCACAGTGTATTTTTAAAATTTTGTTTAGAATTCTGTCAGCCAAGCTCATGCTAACCACAGTGGCAGTTATAAATCAAAAGCTGTTTGTTTAGGAAAATTTCTAAAACTTCACATTTATCATGGAAAATTAATAACAGGGTCTTGGGAACCACTGGCTTAAGTGATTTCTAAGGTCCCTGGCGCAGCTGATGTGGCCTCCCGAGATATAAACTTGTTAGTCCATATGGATCCTGCCTCTTTTGGGATACTCTGATAAAAATTCACTGGAACAGATTTGTAAAATTAAACATTTATTTTGAAAATAGAAGCTAGACAGTGATATGAATATTTGAGGACCTTTTTATACCATTACATAAAACCAAGTCAGATGTGTCATTTTTGAAGTCAAAAAAACAAATGTTCAAGCTAACTAGTAATAGGAACAGTGCATATTGAAATAGGAGATTATTCACACCTATCAGGTAAAAAATTATAAATTCTCTTAATATCAAGCGTGGGCAAGGATGTGTGATTTAGTAAAACCACTTCAGAGGGCGGTAGTTTGTCAGCACCTAGTGAAGTTGTAGACCCACAAACCTGCACACCGCTTGTGGTCATGCATGCTGGAGAAATCTGTACACCCACAGGCACGTGCTCCAGAGTGCTGGCTGCTGTGCTGCTTGTTGATGAGAAATTGGAAGTACCTTGGATATCTGTCATTAGAGGGGCAGACAAATTAATTTGGCAATTTAATATACCCAGTATATAGTAGTTAAAGTGAATCATTAAATTTATGGGATTACATCTTGTGAAAAGAATGTGGAATAAATACTATATATGTAAAATTTTAAAATGTGCAAAGTAGTGCTATACATTGTCAATATAGATACATGTTTTCTTTGCATATTTACACATAAAAATGTATATCACAATATATACATGGTAGACATATGTATAAATTTTATGTGTATGTATATTTTATGTCTGTGTATATGTGACTATAGATACTTGTTTGTGTGCGTGGTGTGTATTTATGTTTGGAATGTGAAGGATACACCCAACCTAGGATACAGTGCTCATGTACGTGATGGAGGAGGGAGAATAAGATGGAATAGCTTCAACTGGGTCTTCAATGTTACACATATTTAAACATTCTCAGTCAAAAAGGAAAAAGGTTTGTGTTAAATCTGGGTGGTGTATGGATTGGCTGACTTCTATTCTCTGTATTTTTATGCATACGTGAAACATTTCATATCTGTGGGGGGAAAAAAGAATCTGGGTGAACAGGGATAAGATAATTGGGGTCTGCAGTACTGCTGTGTGCTGAAGCGTACCTTAAATAGATGTGAGAGTGGGGTAGTACCTTGATTTTGAACTCTTCGATTGATAATTGATAACTACATTTGGTAGTACTGAGCTGAACAAAGTGCATTTAGTGACCGAAGGGCTTCTTTTCCTTAGTTGTTTTTTTTTGTTTGTTTGTTTGTTTTTGTTAATGATGGAATTCTTCATTGCTCCTTAGGTCAGCTGTAACTTGGAACCTCATCTGAGGGGCAATGTGTATGTTCAGTACCAATCGTAAGTATAAATGTCTTCACATTTTGTCACAGTACAGTGTTATGATTATGTTGAGGTCTGGGATGGTTTCCAATGAATTTATAACTTTCATATGCATGGTATTTTTAAAAATGTAAATATTAAGAGCTGATTCAGAAATATGAAGGGATTTGAAAATAATACATTTGGATTTCATTCTTTGTATAAGTACATAGTTTTGAATCTTTTATAATGTAGTTATTGTTTTTACTTAATATAATTTTAATAATTAAAATACAAACAGAAAGGGATAACTAGAATAGACAATAGAAAAGTATAAATCAAGAGTATGAATTGGGAATGGAAGCCCCAAGTAATCTTAGTGTGCAGCTAGTGTATCACTTCTGCTTGTTTTGCTTCTTGCCTGGGCTGGGCTGTGGCTAATGGGTTAAATTAACTATTGTAATAAGAGGAACACCAATCTTGGCTGAGAAACAATGGGCTGTAACAGTGGAAAATACTTCTGCCTTTTTAGTGGTCCAGTCTTTTGATTTAAGAAGCTTTGACTCAGGCCAGTTTCCATGCATCAGAACCTCTCAGAGGGTTAGCAAAAAGAATTCCTGGATAAATTGTGAGCTTCAGGAACTTGACTGTTGTAGGGTACTCTTTCAGTAGTACAAAAGCAGTGAGCTCGGTGATCCTACAATCAACTAATAAAAGGGTTACATAACAACAGGATTAATCTACATATTAGAATGTTACTATAAAGTGCATCCTTTAATTTGTGATTTGAAGGGAAGAGGAATGCCAAGCAGCTCTTTCTCTGTTCAACGGACGATGGTACGCAGGACGACAGCTTCAGTGCGAGTTCTGCCCAGTGACCCGGTGGAAAATGGCTATTTGTGGTAAAATACAACATGACAACTTTCCCCCAGTTGTTCCACACTTATATAAAAGGACATTCTTAGTGAAGAAACACCCCACAATCTTGTAAAGGGGCGAAGCATAGCTTTTACCTCACAGTGTAGATGAACCAAGATCATTATATAAAGGATATCACATTTTAGATCTGTAACAGACCTTGTAGGTCTTTTTATGCATGAGATGATTGAGATCAGCGTTTTGGTGACAAGAGCTGGAGCTGAATGGGGTCTTCCATTCTTGGGCCTGGGCTCTGTATCTGACACCTTAGGAAGCCTGGGAAATTGTGTCAGGGGGAAGCCACCTTTCCCTGTTGCGGTTTCAAAGCTTTTTGCTATTCGTTGGCTCACCTCACTTGAGCTATGTTGTTTTCCCCATCTTTATCCCTAATGAATCTTTGGTCATCTTTGCCACCTAAAACATTAGCTATAACCTTCCCTGTCTTACTTGAAATGCATGCTTTTGTGCAATAGGTTGATTCTTGCTGTAGGATGTGGTAAGGGTACATTTAGTCAGGCTAACTCATCAACAGTGACCCCAGATCAGGAAATGAGTCAGTCCTTTGAATAGCCAACAATTTGGATGGCCTCGTTCTTGTTGGATTTCTGTCAAATGGGCTCAGCCAAACTCTATTGCTGGGCCACCTGTTGGCAAAGAGATGGAGTTATCCATGTCGTAGGGGAGCATGTCTCTGACCCTTTGCTTTGCTTTACACTTGCCTTTTGAACATGTCTTACTTAAAAATTTATAATTTTTAAAGTCTGAATCTTTGGCAACCTGGTCTTAATATATACTTTCACTCAAAAACAATTTATTCAAGAGAAAAAGATTTTGGAATTCCTTGCTTTGGAAAACCGAAAGAATAATTACGCCTTAAGTTTCAAGGCTTGGAGACTGAAAGAAATGGAACTGTTTTCTTTATAAAGGCAGTTACTTTTGTCAGTTCCTGGTAATCTAGTATGGTTTCAGGGAGGCGCTTCTGAGTGTGACTGACTCCCCCAAAGTGGGAGACTATTTCATTTGTTGTTTTCAACATAACAGCTTGGTTATTTTTCCTAGTTACTAATGCTATTGAGCATTTTTTCATGTCCTTGTTATTGGCCATTTGTGTATCTTCTTTGGAGAGATGTTTATTCAGATCTTTTGCCCATTTTTAATTAGGTTATATATCTTTTTATTATTGAGTTGTAATATGAGTTCATGATTTATTCTACAGATAAGTCCCTTATCATAGATATGATTTGTCAATATTTTCTCCCATTATGTGGGTTCTTATTTCACTTTCATGGTGTCCTTTGAGGCACAAAAGTTTTTTTTGTTGAAATCCCATTTGTCTATTTTTTCTTTGCTTGTGCTTTTGCTCTCATATCTAACAACCCATTGCTTAGCCCAGTATCACGAAGATTTTACTTGTGTGTTTGCTTTAGAGTTTTATAGTTTCATGTCTTACATTTAGGACTCTGATCCATTCTGACTTTCCTTTTGTATATAGTGTGTGGTATGGAGACATTTCACTTTTAACTGTTTTACATATTTGGGGAATTTACTACTTTAAAAAAAAAAAGTTTGAAAACCCTCAAAGAATCTCTGAGTTCAAATAGATTTCACCTTTGACAAGAATCTTCCAGGTAAATTTAAAAGCATTAGGCCAATGTTTACCATCGTCTTGGTAAAGTGTTAAGTAGGGATTTACACTGTCAGTGAATGGGATGGTGAAACCCTAGAAAAAATTGTGGCCACCGCCTGTTCGGTTGCACTCCACGCTACTCCAGTAGAGGAACAGGATAGCCTGGCTAATTAAAACTTCTGATGTGTTACTTTTCACAGTGCCATTTGTTAGTGCACTTGAATATATTTGAAATTCTGGGAACCAAAACTGTGGCATTGATTTACGTAAGCCCCTTTTAAATAATACACAGAAGAAAATAGTTCTATCACATCCAACATGAGAAATGTACTTTCTAAGAAGGATAAAGTGCCAGCCATAAATGCCCTTTCCTCACTCTGCCATTGCAGGTTTATTTGAAATACAACAATGCCCAAGAGGAAAACACTGCAACTTTCTTCACGTGTTCAGAAATCCCAACAATGAATTTTGGGAAGCTAACAGGGACATCTACCTGTCTCCAGATCGGTCTGGCTCTTCCTTTGGTAAGAACTCAGAGAGGAGAGAGAGGATGAGCCACCATGATGAGTACTACGGCAGGCCCAGGAGGAGGAGAAGCCCCAGCCCCTCTCGTTCCTACAAAAGGAATGGGGAAACCGAAAGGAAAAGAAGAAGTAGCCACAGGGAGAAGAAATCTCACAAACACACGGCAAAAAGTCACGAAAGGCACAGTTCACGAAGTAGAGAAAGAAAAAGGGATCGCAGCCGGGGCCGGGGCAGCCAGAGCAGGAGCCGTCGGAGCCGGAGCCGGAGCAGGAGCCGGAGCCGGAGCCGGAGCCCAAGCCCCACTAGGTCCAGGAGTCGCGGCAGGAGGAGGTCAGGTAGTAGAGACAGAACTATTCATAGTCCCAAATCCAAATAAACCAATTTTGTTTTGAAATGATTGCATATCTTATTTATTGTGGCTGCTGCATACCTGGATAGAGGGCTCTGAGCTTAAATGGGTTAGCAAGTCTGGCAGAACCCTATGTCATCTGCATTCCTTAAAAATACTCTTATTCTTTCATAATTTATGTGCTTCTTTTTAGAAAAGCTGAAATGTATAAATAACACGAATATTCCTTGTAATCCTAACCTTTAAAGATAACCAGTTAAGCCCTGGCTGGTGTGGCTCAGTTGGTTGGGCGTCCTGCAAACTGAAAGATCACTGGTTCAATTCCCATTCAAGACACATGCCTGGGTTGTGGGACCCGATCCTAGTTGGGGGCCTGCGAGAGAGGCAACTCATCAATGTTTCTCTCACATCAATATTTCTCTCCCTCTCTTTCTCCCGTCCTTCCACACTCTCTTAAAAAAAAAAAAAAATTAACACTGGAGCGTTACTTTAGTCTTTTTTCTTTTCCTATGAGTGTGTAACCATTTTTTTACAGAAATGTCTGCAGTTGAATATGCTTTTACTCACACAAAATACCATCACATTTCCTCAAACCCCTATTCTTAATGTTATTTTTACTCTCTGCATAGTGTCGATCTATCAGTTTATTCAACCATATCCCTCTTGTTGGATTTTAATTTATTTTAACTCTTACACTATTAAAGAATCCTGTGCTGTTAAACAATCCTGTGGTGGATTTCCTTACTTTCATACATCTCTGATCATATTTCTTGATAAATTACATCAAGAGCTATAAATACTGAAGTATTTCCAAATTGCCCTTGAGAAAAACTACCAAAAAAGTTGTCAATAATAAATGTTGCTATTCCTACACCCCACATTACTTTTCTCTTTGCCAATCTGGTAAATGTTTTGTGTTTAAAACTGTATGCATTGGCAAAGTCAAACACTTTTTCTGTATTTATTGGACATAAAATTTGATTATCCTTTATTAGTAATCTATTGGCTTTTCTACATGCTATAGCTGAACACCTTTTTTACTTTAAAAATTCACTTTCTTGGTTTTAAAGTACTAAGGGGTAGTCAATTTTTCCCTTCCCTCCTACCCCATATTTGCAGTCCTTCCTCACTTAGAGGTTTCCCATTGGGGTGTTCTTTGCTCTAGTGTATTAGAGTTCTCTATATACAGGTTATCACTACTGAATATGCCTAGTGTTATAGCAATTCTGGTTTAAAAAAAACAACTGGTTAGAGAACATTCTATTTAAAAAGCTTAAGGAAGCCCTGGCTGGTGTGGCTCCATGGACTGAATGCCAGCCTGCAAACCAAAGGGTGACAGGTTTGACTCCCAGTCAGGACACGTGCCTGGGTTGCGGGCCAGGTCCCCAGCTCGGGGTGCGCGAGAGGCAACTATACATTCATGTTTCCCTCTCTCACTTCCCCTCTGTCTGAAAATAAATAAAATCCTTTTTAAAAAAAAAGCTTAAAATATTGTTCTTAGATTTCAGATCATAAAAAATGCTGTCACACTTCCTCATAAATTTTTAAATTCCTCATTAACCTCCTTTCCGTTGATATACTAGGGATCTTGAATTTCTGAGTATATGGAATTTGAAAACTTGGAGATTTGGAAATAGATTTAAGGATACACAAAATAGTGAAGTTAACAGAAATAGGAATAGAAATTTCTTCACAATTGGGATTTCTGAGTGATATCTGTTGAAAATGAGCCCTTTAATCAGTAGTCTATAAAAGGGAGTATGTGGTCCAGAATACATTTCACTTTAAAAATTGATTTGTTCCAGGCTTTAAATGCCCTAAAATGACTGAAAATTTTCTTCAATTATCTACAGGATTCACTAATGTCAAATAATTATCACTAAATTCAATTTTTCAATACTTTCCTAAATACAGCCAAGTTATTCAAAGTTGAATAGTCTAGTAGATCGTGGAGGGGAGAATGATGGAGGAAAAACACCAGCTTGTGCTCAAGGTTAGGACATACGACTTTCCCAAGTGTCAGTGGGCAGTGTGCTATGGATGGGAGGTATGAAGCAATTTTTAAACCACTGTCTGGTTTATTATCCTGATAAATGTCCATCTTGAACTTAAACTTATAACCTGACTACTACTTGTGATTCAAAAATTCCAACTCTATATTGCCCGCAGCCCATAGGCTTGTTTTCAGTGAGTAAATAACAGTGTTGGAGGCTCCTTATATCTTCCACTATCTTTTTTTTTTTTCCCAGCAGACTAGGAATTTGATGGTAGTTGTTTCCTTGTTCTTAAATGTCATTTTAGTTATGTAACATTTCCGATCTATAGTTAATAGGAGGTCCCTTAACTAAACCTGGATTTGCTGCTGCTGAGACACTAGTTGGCAAAATCAGTCTGTTCAGTGAGTGTGCTGGCAGGTCCAGTTCATGGGTGGGGGAATCCACTTGATTTGACATACCTTGAATTACCTGGAGTCGAGTTGCTCATTCAGAAAGAGTAGAAAAGTCAAGTGCATCAGGTTTTAAAAGCAGCATTTATTGATTGAAAATAAATGTGTAGATTAGCTCTCAGTAGCATGGAATCCACATGATTTTTTAATGAACTTGAAGTATGTGTGTGCTTTTAACAACCACCACATTCAAATGGAGATGAATTTTCAACATTTTACTGGGGAAAAAAAGTTAAAATTTTTCCTTTAGCAGCTCTCCATAGTTTGTTTGACAAGCTTTTGGAAAGAGATAAAAACACACTACAGTGGTGTACACTGAACATTTATTACAACTAATTGGCGATGTGATAAGACAATGCACACGTGGCCTGAATATTGGTCACTATCACAACAAAGCTTAATCCAGCCCAGCAGGTACAAATGAAAGTGTAAACTGTGAAGACATGTTTATATATGGAGTATGTATAAAAGTGACATTGAAACAGCTTTTAAAAATATAGGGCCCACTAATGCCATTTTACCTCATTCAGCTCACTTTTATACGAAAGGTGGTATGTTTTTATTTCTGCAAGATTTCCCATAACTAGAGAATGCCATGGAAGGGCAGGAAGCTGCCCCTAAAGTCTGCAGCACTTCTAAGTGGAGGGAAGCAATAGAGGTGAGCGAAGTAAATTTGGCTGCAACAAGCACCCCGGAAGGAACATTAGTGCTTTAAATGACTTAGGCAATGCTTTGTGAAGAGCAGAATGCATTTTCTGTAGGACTCTGTCATGAAGAATTCCCTGGTAAATCAACATTTCCATTTGGGGGCCTCAAAAACAATCCAACAAAGTGGCTAATTGATTAGGAACACCAAAAATTTATCTCAGGAGTCAAATGTTAACTTGGCCTTAAAAATAACATGCTCACTATTATGAAATAGCCAATCTTTGCTCTTCATCCCAGGTTTAGAATGCCAAAGAAATGTGTAAAACAATTCCAATTTAGTTGTTCCCTTTGTTTTCAGGTATGTAGTTTCCAGTAAGGGTCCTTGGTATAATTTCGTTTTTAAAGTTTCAACATAGTGTTAAATTTTTACTTATTTGATATATGATGTCAATTCCCTTTATTCTCACATAAAGTGTACCGGTCTTTGGTTTTGTAAGTTTCCTTTGCCAAAGACAGTATTTAATAAATGTATATTGCCTGATTGTCATTTTCACGGGTATAATCAGATTAAGAGAAACACACCTATAAACCTTAAAATATCCAGGGACCTTTCCTTTTCTGTATCACTCTAATTCCTGTTTAAGTCTCCTAAGTTATGAATTGGTTAACCAAAGTTCCCTTTAAAAAAAACACTGGGTAGGCCTGAATGAAGCAGCTTAGCGTAACAGTAATACTGAGAAGACATCATCTTACACCATTAGCTAACATGGACATGAAGGCAGTGACCATCTACAGTGTGTGAAATGCCACAAGAAGTCATCAACAAGGGAGGAGAGTTATGTCAGTCCAATCTCTTCAAGAACACTACGTGGGGTTTCGGCTTCCTGTGGAAGGAAAACGTGAGACTCTGGTAAGCAGACTTGGGGTGGCTTGAGAAGGTGGAACTGACATGGAACGTGCAAGTTTCAGGGAGGAAGCAAGTAGTTCAGTGGTATGGGCGGATTCCACTGCTGAGAGCCCGTGGTTATTTAGGGTTTTGTATGGAAGCCACAAGGTATTTTCAGCATGCATTAAATTTTATCTGTTGACTACTGACCAATGTGCTGGACACTTGCTCTAACACAAAAAGCAGTCAAACCCACGGGCAATTTAAGGAATCATTGCTACCGAATAATCTGTCTACAGGAAAGGTTACCTTAGGGTTAAAATTCAAAACATCCCATAAATAAAAAGCAGGGGAAACCCCGAGTTCTCCCAATTCTTCACATAACTTTGGTTTCCATGCTTTTTGGAGGTCCCATGTATTTAGAGAAACGTCTTCCTCATGAATTTTTACTCAGTTCTGGACTTCACTGTCCCAGCAGCAAAGCTTTAGAAACTCACCTCCCCCAGACCTTCCCAGGGCAACCAATGGCTTCAGTGGAGGCAACATACATAAAGAATGCTCTGGGATAAAAGGTATTTTTGTCCTATGTAACAACCAATACTAAGTTTAAACATCAAAGGAACACAAATATATCTAGAAAAAAATTATTTAAAAATTTCCCAAAGTGGCTGACTTTGCACTTAACAAAAAAAGGGACCAAGCAGATCAAACTTCAGGTATTACTAGCAACAATTTTGTAATTAAAAGGCACAGTATATTTTAATAGAAGAAAACAAATGTAATTTTTAGTATCCAATAATAAATTAACTTACTTTTGCATCCTGATTGTGGTAAAGCACAAAACAAGGGAAAAATATATTAAACCATAAGTCCATATATTAAATTGCATGTAAAGCACTACATGGAATAATTTTCAATTACACTAAAACTCTAAGGTGTGTTTCCTGACTGGGAAAACAAGGATCATAGTACTTACCTTCTTCATCTATAGAGATTGAGGGGTAAGGTTTAGTGCCCGACTCACAAAATTGCTCAAAATCTGTTAGCTGATAGCATTACATGATTGAAATCTAAATGAAGTTACTTAGCATTTAGTAGTAAGTGAAGTTCTATAAACCAACTCTATATAAAGTTCATATAATGACTTCTTAGTATATTTGTATATTAATGAAAATGGGTAAAAATCAGCTTTGGTGACATAAGTTTTTTATAAAGTATTCTCCCCCCGCCCCTAAAATTGAATCTCAACCTAGCCAGAGTATAGATCGAAATAACTATGGAAGGTAAGAAAGAAAGTTAAACATCGCCACAAGATTACAATCAGCCAAATACAGAATGGAGGGAATTTTACAGCACAGGTGACTCAGTTAACAACAAAAAAAAGGCAAGGGGGAGAAAGCAGAGGAGTTGTTAAAAATTAAGAGGGACTTAGGAGACATCAGCTAGACACAATGTGAGCCTTGTTTGGAATCTGGTTCTAACAAACCAATTCTACAAATACATTTTTCAGATTATGAGAGTGATGCAGTAACTGTTGCACTAAGGAGGCAGGTTGTTTTTCAGATAAGTATGAAAAATTGAACCAGAATTAGTTAATCGCATGGGGTGTGGTACTTATCTTTTAGGGGTACATATTTTAGTTTTAAAGATGAAATGATAGGATGTCCAGGGCTTGCTCTAAAATACTGAGGCACAATGGGATGGCGGTGGCTGATAAAGTAAGTATAGCAATCAGAGTACTAAGCTGATGGTTACTGAAGCTGAGTGACATATATACACGAGGATTCCTAGTACTGTTCTATTTGCATGTGTCAGTTTTCATGATATAATTTTTAAAGAAAAGTCTAATGGAAATCACGGAACACTTCCGAGAGTGATGTAATAAGCCAATCTCTTTCATTTTTAATATCTAGCCTTAAACATTAAATACACTGAATCACATACATAGTAAAATAATTTAAAAATAATCCTTCATTTAATGTTAAATACTTTTTAAAGCATCATACAACTTTAATGTATTAATTAAAAGGCTGCCTATACCAAATTCTATATATTTAACAGTCTTAAGCTTACCCATGTAAAAATGTGCCCGACTGTACACCCTGGAGTTGGCCAGATTTCTCCTATGTGCCCACTGCCCGCAATCAATCTTTTATTGCGTTTTTTAACGAGAACCATGTTGCTTATCAAATATGCATTATTTAAAACATTTGTCTTTTTAAAAAGGCCTAGAGTTACACATTTTATTCCTTTGAGATTTGCAGAGATAGTACATTAGTTTTTTCAAATTGTGTTTATAATATAAAATGTAATTTTCACATGTTCACACTGAAATTGTACCTCAAAATTGCCTAGAAAAACTATTACTGAAGAGTCCAATTCATAAATACATAGAATGGTGGTTACCAAGGGCTGGGGGAAGAGGGAAATGGAGAGTCATTTAATGGGTACAGAGCTTCAGTTTTGCAAGATGAAAAATTTCTGGAGATTTATCACCACACTGCAAATATGCTTAACACTAATGAACTGTGCACTTAAAAATGGTTAAGCTGGTAAATTCTGTTATGTGTTTTTTACCACGATTAAAAAAAATTATCTGGAAACACTAAAATGTAAAATACATTATCAAAAGAGATGGAGAAGAAAAAAAAGTCATTCACATGAGACAAAGTACATGCAATATTTTTATTTTAGACATGCAAGGAAAGCTATTTCAGAATCTACTAATTCAAAGCAAGCAGCTGTATACAGAAAACAAAAGAAGCAACATCTTGTTACAACAGCTCAACACACAGCATCCAGAACAGGCATGAGACAATGCATATTTATGCAGCATTAAAACCAGGTAAACAATATATTGCAGGGTGGGAAGAGGGATGAAGGGGAAAGATGGAAATGAAAGACCAATGTTTCCCAACGCTTTCAATGTATAATGCTAAATTTCACATTTGATAGCCCATCCAGGTGCTGTGGTAAGAATGGTAAGAACTGATTTGCATGCCTGCCTTCTACACATTTTCATAGGTCTTCTTTCAGTGGTAAGCCAGTTTAAGAATCTTTTGAATTTAATGTTTAATGACAGCTTACTTAACGAGGCTTTAAACTCCCTAGGTATAAACAATGAATTATTTGGTACTTTCCTTTTATAATAAACTATGTTGCATGTGTTACTAACAGTATACAGAATAAATGATCAATAGTAATGGTTTTAATATTCAGACATATAAAACCATAGTTAACAAATCATTAAGTATTTTAAATGAAGACTATATGATAAAACCATAACCACTAAAATATATTTAAGATTATTTGAATATTCAAATTTGACTATATAAACTCAGTATTACTACTTTGAAAGGGTTGCTTACTATTAGATATTTCGGATGAGATTTTTCTGACATAGCTTTCTGATAGTTCTTAAAGGGATTGCTTGGTATTATATGGCACAAATGTGGCATTACAAATTTCTTCAAAATTGTGCGTGTTTTACCTTAAATGACGTAACTGTACAGATTTTACTTGTATTTCCGAATACACTCTTAAGTGATACATTAAAACACATTAGCTCATAGAGACTATATTACAGTCACACTAAATACAGTTCTTTCCCGCAACATTTGAAGACCAAACCACACTATATATTATGGCACTGCTTATTTAGACCTAGCATTTCAGCTGTATTTTCTTTGGCAAACATTAAAACAATTGCTAGGTTTTCCTCTTACAAGATTAATCACAAATGGTTCACAAATGACATGGATGTGTTTAAGATGAAATATTCTGAAAACATTCATAGGTCACATTTTTTCAAGAAGAAATTAGGCCAGCTGCAAGCAGAAGTAAGCTATATCAAGATCACATATAGAATGAAAACAAAACAGAAAAGAGGAATAGGAACAGGAAAAAATTACAATTGTAAAGGTATTGGCTCTAAAACATTCTATTACTATAAGATGGTCACCAAGCTGAGGATATTTTCTTTCATAAGTATATCAGCTCTCTATTTCCTCTGTGAGAGTCTGCATACACGTCGAGTAGTCATTTAGTACACTGGGACATTAAAATATTCATGGCGTGGCTACAAAAGAAATGCATATGTTCTTACACACAGTATACAAACTAACAGACAATCAGATTTCTAGGTCTAGGGCACAGTAAAGAAAACTTAAATGAAACAAATTTTTGTTTTTGTCCTTTGGTTATGGCTGAATATTTTAATTTCTAAACAATGCCCAGGAGTTCAGATTCATCTTTTATTAACTTTTTTAATATATATATATAAAATCAAAAAGACCTACATCCTAGAGAATCCTACAACATTTTCAGTGTAAGTCATCTGGTCAATGCTGACTTAACTGAAAAGTCAAGTAGAATACTCCCTCCCATCAGCATGTTCAAGTTCATCAGGATTTTATTACACCAAGTCAAAGAATTTAATCCCTTAATGAAAATCATTACATCCTAAGGCGACTATAAGCTCTTTTACAGGATCTTAAAGGAAAATCTTTCCCAAGAAAAAGTGAAAAGTAGTCACCCATCTGGTATTTTAAGTAGCAACAGACGTTTTTAATGGTTCACTTAGCTAAAAAACGCACACACACACCCCTCCCCAAAGACTATGCCTTTGAGACTAGGGATATATTACTTATTAAATAACCCTTTAAAGAACTCTCCAAACAGATTTGTTAAATGTCTGTGCCTACAAATGGATCTAAAAAGATGTTTCTCATGTCAACGAGGTAACCTGAGGTGAGGTTTTAAACTGACCTTAGAGTGTCCGGAGATGAATTTCTAGGGACTCCAAGAACCTCCTGAAACTAGAGGCAAAATTATGTGCAGATTTTCCTGAGAAGAGGACCCGTGGGATAATTCCCCCACCAGAAGGCTTGTGACTCAAAAATTTAAAAAAAAAAAAAAGTTTAAAACTTGCTTCTTTGAGAGCTTTAAAAATATCCTCATTTTAGTATTTATTCAGCTTGGCACTTTAAAATGATAAGA